TTTCCTCTCAAGCTCGAGGTTTTGTTGCTTCATCTGCTCGATCAGCGAAATGATTTGCCCGTGAGCTAGTTCAAGATTTTTCTGCCTAGCCCTTTTCTCTTTCTCTGAGTCTCCCATAACTCAACTTGGGTCTTTTCTGCTGCTTTTTCACGCTCCAAGCTCTCTTGCAGCTCATTTTTTCTTTGGCCTAACTCCTTAGTGAGCCTCACTATTGTTAGTTGGAGCCCCTTATTGTCGTCATCCTTCTTCTAGAGCTCAGTCTTCTAGAAGTCTGCTACTCGCAGAGCATAATTACTTTCAGTCAGATACACATTTTCCTGAATGTGGGCAACCTTTGCCTTTTCATCTGAAGCCACAAGATCTTGCTTCAGCTTAGCTATCTCCTCCTTCATCTTGTGGAGCTTGCCAAAAGAGTTTATCGTCATCTTGTTGTAGGCCACAATCAGAGCGAGCAAAGACTACATGGAAGGGAACAAAGAGTTAGTTTTTTTCTTAAAAAGCTAAAGGATCGACTTATATGAAAGAGTTCTCGAAGGGAACAAGTCATCTTACTTGACTTTGCATCTAAAGTATAATGGCCACCAGGTCGGTAGATCGAGAAGCCATGTACCTATCAAAGGTTGTAGCAAGTTGGCATTCCAAAAGGGTGTAAACCACCGGCCATAAATGGTTTGGTAGTTGCCCTAAAAGATCCAACACGGATGAGTTAAGCCTCGTTGCAACAGGGACCTCGTCGACTTGTTCCTCGCCTGCTTCCCCCTGAGCAGCCATGGTTGCTCTCTCTTTCCCTTGCGAGCTCCCAAGGGCAGTCGAGGTCCTGGGAGTGTTCTTTGAGGTCAGCCTCACAGAAAAGAGTTGATAGGGTTGTAGCCTGTCTGGCAATATCCTGAAGCCTTCTGATTTAGACTCAGTTTCTTCTTCGATGGGTATTGTCTTTCTCTTCTTTGTCTTCAAGGCCATGGTCTTCTTCCCAATGGATGAGCAGCGGCGGGTTGGAGAGTTTCTCCATGTCGCTTAACAGGTGGTTGTCTTTCCGTGCCAATTTGTATCCCCGTTACAGGGATATCGCTGGAGGTCGCTCCAACTAGTCCAGTTGGGTTGATTCTTGGGAATGCAAACCCCTTAGACTTCTTCGTCATCTTTGTAACCTTCAGTGGCATAGTTGATGCATGGCATAATGGACATGTCAGCAAAAAAGATCTTTTTTTGTTAAAAAGACTTAAATTTTTGTGTGCAAGAAATGCTTAAAAGCTGAACTATCTAAATATGCGTCGGGATTAAAGAACTCGTATTTTTTAAGGTTGGCAGTAGTCACGACCAGCTCTACGTTGCAACTCTAGTTGGGCAATCGACCAAATGCTTCGATGCATCTGCGATCAGCTAGCACCGACAATCTAGTCGTTTTATTTCTTGCAAGAAAGCAAAAGGTTCGTTAGCCTAATGTATTAAGGAAAAGTTAAAGTTAAAAAACGAGCGATCTAGAAATTAAAAGGAAAACCTACTAAGTTCCTTAAATTTATAGATTTCATTGTACTTGAAGAAAAAATACTTGGTTTCATAAGCCCTCACGTTGTTGGGGTAACCAAATATCCCTCCCTCGATCATTGATCGCTTGGAGAGGTAGTACGAATTCTTGTCTTTACTGTTCTCTAAGTAATAGGCGCAACCGAGCTCCTTTGTTGTTGGCTCGTCGAGGTTGTGTTCGTCAAATGCAATATACATAGCAACTGCTATCATATATGCATTTGGCGTCAATTGAAATGGCACGACCTGGAAGTGGTCGAGAATCAACCTAATGTAGGGGTGAAGGGGTACCCTCACTCCACATTTGAAAATCGCGTCCAAGATCACGGCCATTCCTTCAAGAGGATCTTGAGCAATATGCGATCTATATCGATACACATCTACGTTGATCGCGTACTAGTCTATTGCTTTCTGAATTTCATCCTTTGTGACGATTGATCGTACTACCTTTTCGGGACCCGCCGAGGTGCCCAGTGGTTGCAAGCTTCCCTCTCCAGCTATTCTCGCCTTAGGGATGTCCATTGCCCTTAGTCTATAAAGATGCAACATATAGGGGTGACTCAAATTTTGCATAATCAACCTCATATAACGACTCAGAAGAGTAAAAGAACCCTGGTTTCTCTTCCATAGCCGCTAAAAATCCTAAAAAATCTTAAAGATGATTTTCTAAAGATCTATGTCCTAAGTTTCAACTCTTAAAAGTGTTTCTTTCAAACACTACCCAATAATGTTTATCATCTAAGTCTATTAGACGTCCATACCCGCCATTACTGTAAAAACTAAGCTTTTTGACAAAAATGAAAAAGAGAAAAGGGGAAGAAATTTCTTTACCTCTTGATTGCTGGGAATGATGCTCTGTCGTAGCTTTGAGTGCACATTAACTGGGAAGAGGATGAACTAATTTTTTGAGTGCAAAAACGTTGTTTTCTCTCTAAAATCTTGAATTTTGTGAAAAACTTAGAATGGGCTTTAGGTTTTATAAGGTGGAAGATGACGTTTGGTTTCTTTTATAAGCGACGATTAGGGGAGAACGCGCTTCCAGCCGTTGATTGTGACCACATGTCACCAATCCACGTGAAGAGTGACCTTCACGCTTCGTGAAAATCAACCGACACTTCTCTTCATTGAAATTGTCAAGCACGGGCATGATTATCTCCTTCACATTAAATGCACCCTCATCCACATTTAATGCTTCAAAAGAAAATGTTGTTTCAGCATGACTTGCATTTAATGCTCATGACTAACACTTATTGCACAGAGACACTTCTGTCAGATAAAGCTTATTCTATTGACTAAGACAGTTATCAAGCGCAACGGATAACATCTAAGGAGGTCATTCGAATAAGGAATTTTTTCCACATGTCATACTCAAACATCGAACGAGATGATTCTTAGCTTTCGACAGCAAAAGGTTCTAAGTGTTTTCAGGTCATGAATCACAAATAGAAGTCGAAACACATTTTCATAGCATTGAATAGGATCTGGCTCAGGTCGATAGACCTTTGTGGACGATCACATCAGGTCGCTTGTGTAATTCTCAAAATTCGTGTCACAATCTACACTCAGTTCGTTGGTCAGATCCAGCCATCAGCCTCATGTCGTTTGTAACAGTATGGTTATTCTTCTACTGTTAGCTCAAGCAAACATTCCTCGAGACAAGTCAGATTGTGACATAATCATGAAGTTCTCAAGATTAAATTCTTGAACCATAAGAACTGGGGAGCTTCTGTTATGCTTAAAAAACCAGGGCTGACATAAGCTTACGTCATCAAACACCAATCAAAGTACAAAAAGGCTTTGCGCCGTCCAAGGGTTGCCATTTCACCCCAAGATAGAAAGAATACGGCTGTCATCAACTTGGCAAATTCAAGTTTTGTCTATGACTGACTAAGGACCGCATACTTGTCCAAGCCCCAGATAATTTGAGGATATTTCCTAAGTTATCAGCCAATGGGAGGCAAGGAAGGACTTGCACGACACCTACCCACTTGTAGATTTGTAATCATTACCTTGAATTCAGCCACTCCCCCTCTTAGTTTTGGGATCATGAACCCTTATTTTGATTCTTATTGTGATCTTTATTTTCAAAGCAAAGATAACCTACAAGAAAGAGATTGGCTTGATATTCTCTCTTAATACTCAATTATTGTACATCTGCTCACTGTTCGCTATACATGACCCCTTGTAAACTCTCATATATAAAAGAAACAGTGGACATAGAAATCGCTTTAAGCATTTGAACAACTTTAAAAATCATCTCTCTCATTTATTATTCAGTCTTTGTATTCGATTATACTGATTAACTCTTGAATCAATAATATCACGTGTAATTTCTAAGAACAGATTAACACTTTGCACGTGTGGGTCGTTGGTGTCAAAATCACACATCAACATGAAGTAATCAGGTTCTTGCATCTATGGAAGCAAGTCTGCTTGCTAAAGCTAATCAATAGTCCAATATATAACCTGTATTGTATTAGCTTTAAGTTCATTCGACCATTTAAAATATACACGCCATTTTTTGCTATCCTTACCACAACGGGATACCCAGAACTAAGAATTGTGAAGCAATTTTCATCTTATACTCAGTAATAAGAGCATTTACATTTAACAAGAACTTTGAGTCACTCTTCTTGTATCAGAGCTACGTATGAGAGCTTGAGAAGAACTACTACCACCAACATCTACACTTCTAAGCCTCTCTCTCGTAGATGTTGCACTTATAGGTTGCTCACTCTAACTTAACCCATTCAACTCCCCCTATAAGGGTTCTTCTTTAGGTGTTTCAAACTGCCACTGCATGCCACAACTTGGACAAACTACTTTTCCCTGAAACAAATTAAGTTAGCAGAATCATCTTCAAGAAATCTATTCATACAATACACAAGACACACAAAGGAATGTGTCAAGACTTGTACCCTTTTTTGAGAAAATTCTTTTTTAGGCAATAGTGATGAATTCGAGCCTGGCAACCTTCAGTTTGGCATACTTCTCCTTCTCAAATATATTTAAAACAAAGTATCAATGGAGCCAATAAACAATGATTCAGCAACTCAGCTTAAAACTATGACTAATGCATCAGTTTGATGTTTAAATCTTCAAGTTCTTTGGTAAATTGCAAGAACTAGGCATTACGTTTTATCTTTGATACTATGCATATCTTTAAATATATCTTAACCTCCAACTATCTATAAATATTGTCAGCACTCCCCCTCGAGATGATGCATATATATATCTCACATACCCATCTTGCAAAGTAGGGGTGGGCGGTTTTGGGTACTCACCCCTTTTTGAAGGAACCAGAATTGAATCGGTCGGTTCCTTTGATTTGGAACCGAAACTGTACTGTTCTGGTTCCAATTCCAAGTATCTTAAAAAATATCTATTACCCTACTATTTTTTAAAAATGATAAACAAACCCTTATAAATTACAATTACACCCCAACTGTTTTTCTAAAATGACAAATACACTACAAACTTTACAAAAATTACAACTATTCCAATATCCATTTCAACCTCCCAAAATTAAAATTACATAACACTTTAAAACTTTAAATAGCACAAGTACAACAACATAATAACATATCAAGTTTCATCCTCCCAAAATTAAAATTACATAACATTTTAAATAACACAATACAACAACAAGATAACATATAAAGTTTCATCCCCAAAATTTGCAATGGTAATAGCTTCTCATCAATTGCTTTCAGTGCTACAAAAAAAAAAAGAAAAAAGGAAGTCAATTAATCAATTAGTAATTTAGTATGTTAAAAAATTGAACTACATTAACTAAATGAAAATATAAGACATTGATATTAATAAGGTACCTAAAACATAAGTCTCTGTATCCACCAAGTAAATTTCAGAAGGAGTAAGTGTGGGTGCATATCTTAACCAATCTTGTGTACAAATTAACGCTTGTACAACACCCGAAGATAAAGAACTTTGAAATTGATCAAGTACACGACCCAATGTACTAAAAGCTGACTCGGAAGCAACTGTAGACATAGGAATTGCAAAGACATCTCTTGCCATATGCAAGAGAACCTTATACTTCCCTTTATTTGCTTTCCACCAATTAAAGATACTCAACTCACACTTCAAGGTTTCACGTTTCTCCTCAAGGTATTGCTCTAACTCTAGTTTGTTAACATCAAGTACCCCTACGTCCATCTCCTTCAAAAATGCGTCCTTGATGGGGTGATACTTAACAATAGCATTAGAAGCAACAACACAATCTAAAGATTGATTAGTTCCCATTGGTGGAAAGGAACTGGAAGCTTGATCTTGTTCTAGTTGAGGCAAGTCGGTCATAAAATCCAAATAGTCGTTATAATACATCTCTCAAGATTTTCATCATCATTTTAGCTTTTGCCAAGTCATTGACATAAATCTTTTTATAGCACTAGCTCACATATATCATTTTATACCGAGGATCTAATACCGTTGCAATCAACACCATCACATTGGCTTTGTCAAGACTCCCATAATACTTGTCAAACTTCTCTCTCATTTTCTTAGACATTCTCTGAAAGACAAGGATTAAAATTGTTCTCCCAATCATTCAAAGTAAAGATAATGGAAACTATCTCATCAAAATAATTGTTAGAAGTCACATATTTCGTCCTTGACATCCTTTTAGTAGCTTCGTAGAACGTTTCCAATAATTTGGCAAACACAATTGCTTTTTCCCAATCATCAGCTAAAAGAGTTTCATGTGACAAATCAATAGCAAAGTTGGGGTCCTCATCTTCCAACCTTTGGAAAGCTTTCCTCAATTTTATTGCGTTATCTAACATGAGATAAGTGGAGTTCCATCTAGTGGCCACATCTAGACACACACCACCTTTATAAGTTATTCTTTCCTCTTTCACACATCTTTCGAATTCTAAGGCTCTACCAGAAGAACTCCTCACATACTTAACCGAACTACAGATATGGCTAATACTATCATTTACCTCACTAAAACCATCCCTCACAATCAAATTCATAATATGAATAATGCATCTCATATGAAAATACTGACCATCCATAGTTAAGGCATTCTCATCTACACCAATCTATCCTTCAAGTAATTGATTGCCACATCATTAGCACTAGCATTATCCACCGTTAAAATTGATACATGATCTTCAATACCTCATTCAAGAATGCATTTCTCTATTACCCTATCCCTATGACTACTAATGGTCACAAAACTCAGAATCTTCTTATGTAACTCCCAATTCTCATCAATAAAGTAAACAATGAGGCATAGATAGCTACAGTTCTGAATGGAAGTCCATATATCAGTCATTAGAGCAATCCTAGACTTCAGAGATCTCAACTATTTTTTCAATGAAATCTTTTGACAATTGTAAATCTTCAAAGAATCTGTAGCCACTGTATAACGAGAAATATGCTTCCATAAAGATTGCAATGAACTTTCATATTTCCTAAAACCTGGCCGCTCCACCTTTGTAAATGGTTCTTCATCAACAATTATCATCTCAGCAAGCAATTGCCTAAAGACCTCTTGACTAAATCTCCAAGTAGTAACCGTACTATATTCCTTGTTATCTTCTTTGTTTGTGCTCCTAAAAGATGAGAGAACTGTCTGGCTTTTATCTACATTGAGGGGGTATTTCTTACAACTTGATAAATGCTTGCACATAAAGGAAGTTTTATTACTCACATTGTACGCTAACAACTTCTCACAATAGAAACACTCTGTCTATTCTACTTTGTTGGTTCTTTCATTATAAATCTTCTCAAAATGTTCCCACACTCTGGATTGCTTAGCCCGCCCATGCATATTTCCATTTGATATCGACTCTCCCATATTAGGTGTATCCTCAATGTCAATGTCAATGTTTTCTCTAATTGATGACATTGTTCCTGCAAACATTTAAGCAATCAACATAAAATGAAAATATGTATTTCTCATTTCCTATAAACTGTGAAGTAATATATAAAGGCTTTCATGAAACAAATTTGATACTAGAACAAATTTGAATGGCTAAACAAACACCAATGATCTAATGAAAACAAAACAAGATTTCATATAAAACAAAATGATAAATTAAGAAAATAAACTCAAGCTTCATCCAGGGTACATTAATAAAAAATTGTTGTAATATTTGTCATTGCTCTCACAAAGCAGAGATCTTTTTGCTTAAAGCAAGTTTTAAAAATTGATTTACGAAGCAATACATGCGAGAAGTGAGATTTAATTTAAAGAATTATGTAAGCACAAAGTTTTATCAGTGTACTAGACACATGCCATATTTGATTTGGAGAATTTAAAGGAACATTTAGAAACATAACTCAACAAAAGGAATATCCTCGGAAGCATTTGTATTAGAATGTATTTGTAACTCATAAAACTCCACCTTAAAAGGATAAAGAAGAGGAATTTGAAGATTTAGATTAAAAGACTTGAGTGTCTTTGAAAGCACAACAAGGATGTGTCAAAATGATTATTATCTAATAATCAAGAAACATAGGGAAAATGAAACAACAACTTCCTTAAGTAGTTAAAACAGAGCAAGCACCTGCATCATATTATTAATAACACGAATCAAAATGATGTTCAATCTCACATATTCAATGCAAAATTGAAGGCTTCTCTTGCTAAAAAAAATAATGATACAAATTACCATGTCAATGAAGGCATCTTTCAATTTAGAACCAAAATTATGATGAAAGAAATAAGAATTCCAATGTAAAACTCATTGATACAGCATTATAACAACAATATGACCCAAACTTATGCAGTGCAAAAACAAACTCTTACACCAAAAGTGCTTTTTTCCCTCAAAAGTGCTCCAAAACCGAGGAGGCCTCAAAAGTGCACACTCCATGTGCACCAGCTCTGTTTCTAAATTCCTACAAAAACCTATGCTATCCACCACATATACAAATATTGACCACATCATAACACCACAATCTTTCCATTCTTTGAATATTTCAACGAAGATCAGAGTTCGTCCTTCAATGCCTATTGCCTACTCACTCTTTTAACTTTACTTCAAAATGGATATACCAGTTCATGAGATAGCAAATCAAACTTTAAAAAATAAAAAATAAAAAAAATTGTCATGATTTGGAAATCAAAAAGACTAAAGACAAACTATAATATGCAAATATGCAGATAAAAATTCATGATGATTACGATAATTAGAACTAAAACAAATATTACTTGGGATGATTGAAAACATATGCAGTACCTCAAAATCAAACAAGGGAGGACCTGTTTCTGGAAGTAAAGATGCAGATAGAAATTCAAGTTCAAATTGAAAACCCCAAAGAACAAAAATTGGGGATTTTGAAAATACCTAATTGGAGATAATGAAAACAATCTTGCAAACGTGAGAATTGAGATAGTGAGATGGCGTTTGAAGATTCGAATTGGCAACCCCGGAGATTCAAGTTTGACGATTTGAACTAAGAGAGATGAGAGATTGACAGGTGCACTGGAGAATGGAGATTGTCGAATTTTTTTCCCCCCAAATCCCAATTTTTATTATATATTTATAGGACATACAAAATATCAAAAAACCCCCATAATTTTATATTATCTCAATTTAGTCCCAGTTCCCACTTCCGGTTCCTTTGATTAGAAACCGGAACCACACAGTGTCGGTTCCAACTTTTTGGAATCGAAATCGACCCTATTCGGTCGATCCGGGTAGGAATTGAAAACAAAACCCGGATACCTGTCAGTTCCGGTTCTGCCCTAAAATTTTGCCCACCCCTATTGCAAACTAAACCATGGAAAGATTTGCTACTGATACCCTTAGTGAAAATATCAGGCAACTGATTTTCAGATATCACATGAGAGAGATCCAAAATCCCACAATGAAGTTTCTCCTTAATGAAATGTGGATCAATTTCAATATGTTTTGTTCAATCATGTTGAACTAGATTGTGAGCAATACTTAATGGCCACCTTATTATCACAATATAAGAACATTTTTTTCTCATTTGATAATTGTAAATCTTGCAATAGTCTTTGAATCCACAAAAGTTCACAAACACTTTGAGCCATGGCTTCGCATTCAACATCTGCACTTGATCTTGCTATTACACTATGTTTTTTTTATTCTCCAAGTGACTTAGATTTCCACCAATAAATGTGCAAAACCCGATGTAGATCTCCTATCATCAGGCGATCCAGCCCAATCTACCTCTATATAGCACTTTATTTTTAGGTAACCATGTTTAGAAAACACTAGTCCTTTACCTGGAGCACACTTCAGGTATCTCAAAATATAAAATACATCATCTAAATGTGAATCCTGATGTTCATGAATAAATTGACTAACCACACTTACAACATAGGCTATATCTAGTGTAGTGTGAGAAAGATAAATCAACCTTTCAACCAATCTTTGATAGCGACCCACGTCAATCGATTTCCCAATGCCATTTTGTAATATGTGATTGGCCTCAATCAGAGAATCCGCTAGTTTACAACCCAACAAACCTGTATCCTTAAGGAGATCTAAGACATATTTTTGCTGAGAGATAACCATCCCCTTATCAAATCTGGCAACTTCAATCCCAAGAAAATATTGTAGCTTACCAAGATCTTTGATTTCAAATTCCTGAGCTAGATATCTTTTCACCTTTGCCATTTCATCTAAGTTATCCTGTGTCATTACTATATCATCAACATAAACAATGAGTATTGTGAGCTTACCATTATAGTGCTTGATAAATAAACATGGTCAGCATTACTTTGTTGATAACCAAAAGAAATCATGGCCTTATTGAACCTGTCAAACCATGCTCTAGGTGACTACTTCAAGCCATATAATGCCTTCTTCAAAAGGCAAACTTTTCCTTGAGTTTTCTCATTAGCAAAACCTGGAGGAGTTTCCATATAAACTTCCTATTCCAGATCTCCATACAAGAATGCATTCTTGACATCAAACTATTGTAGATCCTAACCAAGATTAGTTGCACATGACAGGAGAATTCTAATGGAGTTTATCTTTGCAACGTGAGCAAATGTCTCTTGGTAATCCACACCATAGGTTTGAGTGAACCCTTTTGCCATCAATCAACCTTTATATCTTTCAACAGGTCCATTTGCTTAGTGCTTTACAGTAAACACCCATCTGCACCCTACTAGTTTCTTTCCCAATGGAAGAGTAGCAAGCTCCCATGTTTCATTTTTTGTCAAGGCCCTCACCTCTTCAACCATGGCTTCTTTCCACTTTGGATCATTAATAGCTTCTTGCCAACCCTATGGAATAGAAACAGAAGACACGTGAGATAAAAAGGCTCTATAGGAAGGAGACTATAATTCATATATATGAAACAAAGTTAGAGATGGAATGTTTGGTACAAGTTCTAACATCTTTTATAACAGCAGTGGGAATATCAATATCATTTTTAAGAAGAGCAAAACTAGAAGTAGAACTAGAAATAGAGTTTGAAGGAGACTTACTATTATGTTCAATCAAGACTGCTTCACTAGGTAGAACACACTCAATGACTTTGTATGTTGCATTGCCTTTATATGAGTACCTCTTTAAATTAGGCCAATCTAATCTCCCAATTTTATTAAGATCAACCATCATTTTTCTCTTATTGCTTCTCACCTTCATCTACCTTATTTTCACTCTCCCCCTTACTAGGAATTGAACTAAAATCATGCATGGGTGCCAAGTTTTATGGTGTTACCTCTTCTACACTATTCTCCCCCTACAAAGGTGATTGAGATCGAGAAAATTAGGGTTCTAGTTTCGATATAACATAAACAGGGGACTGACTTAAAACTTTGACCCGTGGAGGATGATATAAGAATTTTTTTTTCTTTTTTTTTTTTAAGTTGATGAAATAACAAAAATTACTGCCTGTTTGGTAGGTTATTTGAAAAATTATTATTCTGAAAAATTATTTGAATATGATAGGAGATGATTAAATAGAATATAATATGATTCTAACAATGTGTTTGGTATAATATTTGAAAATTAAAAAAAAAAACCATAATAAAACTTTAAAAGTTAACAAAAACACCCCCAAATAATGAAGCCACCAACGACAACAAAAATCTGGCCGTCGTCAACAGCAATCTGGCAGGAAAAGGCAAGATCAGCACACGATCGGCCAAATCCAACCGGCCGTACATCGTTCCGACGTCGGCAGTGGTTAATGGTGGCTGGCAGTGGCTTGGGTGGGTAGGAGTGTTTTTGTTAATTTATAAACTTTTTATTTTGAAATGTAATTGTTTTTAGTTGAATAGAGTTGGGAAAATGTTATGATAGGATAGTAGAAAACAAGTCTCACCCACTTTTCATTTTCAATAGAAAAATCATATTTGATTTGAATTAATTATCTGAATAATGATTCAAATAAGTAAACAAAAACATATTCTATTTTTTAATCTAACTAGGCTAATAGAAAAGTGGTTAAAAAAACAAAAAACAAACAAACAAGAGTTATTGTTATGATATAATAATAAAAATTACATTATTGTTAATAAATCGTTAATAAGTTATTAAAATTTATATTATAAATTAATAAATATTATTAAATAATATAAATATATTTTTATTTTCAAAATTTTAAAGATACTGTTATTACTTTATCATATCTAAAAGGGTATAATGTTATTAAGTTTGAAAGAGGAATAAACAAAATCATAAGTTTTAGGTTATATTAACTTAAATTTATATGCAAATTTTCTGCTGTCAACTCATTATAATCCAATGGTTTACGAATTGATAAAATGATAAGAAAATAAGCGATTATAATCTTTAATTTTTTAATTCTTAATTTTTATGGATTGGGGTTCGGGTTCAGGTTTTATGTTCTGGCTTGGGCTCGGGTTTGGGTGGTGATAGGGTCTTGTCAGTTGGATATTAAGATCATTTTATTCCTATTCCATAAAACAGATTAACAAGCAAAACTGGCAGATGAAAGGGAGTTTTGCGTAATTTCCCGTACCTAAAGGGATTTTTCATGTTTGACGGGGGTTTAAAGTAATCATCCCTATAAAATAACTATATCTTCAATTTACTTTTTATTTTTATATCTATTTTAGATTACAATATATCTTTGATAGTAAATTTATGTTTCAATTTAAATCAAAATTTGAAATATTATAATCTGACAATATATTTGTTTAAAATCATTATATCATTTATCATATTATTTTAATTTGACATGTTTAAAAGAATATCTCACATAAGTACATTGTACATGAGGGGTGAACATGGATAGTGGATAGAATCGGAATTAGAATCGGAACCGGAACCTACTCGAAATCGACGCTGTGCGGGTAGGTTCTGGTTCTATTTTATTAGAACCGACACTGTTCAATTCCAATTTCGATTCCTATAGGTTTCAGAACCGGAACCGGAACTTGGAAAAATAACCTGAAGCAGGTACCCAACTTAGAACCTGTTTGTGTTTTGGTTTGGAGTAATGCTATGTATTCTAACCAATGTGTACTAATTCAAGTACTAACATTGAAAATCTGAATTTTTTTTTTTTTGGAAGGAATTTCAAATTTCCAATGTTAGTACTTAGATTAGTACACATTGGTTAGTGCACACAGTTTTATTCCTTGGTTTGATTGAGAAATATTATGTGAATTGTGATGAATTGATCGAAATCAAGTGTTGCCTAAAGATTAGAAGATTTATGAATCACATTAGACACAAATGAATGAATAATCAAAAGTTGAAAACTAATAAATGTAGGTTTTCTTAATTTGTTAGGGGTATATTTGTAAACTTTTAAGGTATTTTCATCATTTTTAAACTAAGAGGGGGGTAATTAATTTTTTATAGGGTACTCAGGTAAGAAACCGGAACTTGTATTTCTGCATTTCAGGTTCCGATTCTTTGAATTTAAAAACTAGAACCGACATGTTAAGGTTCTGGTTTCTATTTTTGGGAACCTACATTATATGGTTCTAGTTTCGATTCTCCCAAAAAATACAAAATATCCGGAACCACCCACCGCTATTGTACATGTACTATTATGAGTTTTCTTTTCAAAGTTGGGTGAGAGTTGTCAAAAACCAATGGGATTGGAATGACCCACAGTGATTAATGGTAGTGATTTGATTTATATTTAATATTTATTTCTATTGGGTCCGGTTATAATAACTTAAATTTATTTATTTAATTTGAGACTCTAGTATAAATTATAATCCAAAGATTTAAAAAGTATATTTAATTTGAGACTCTAGTATAAATTATAATCCAAAGATTTAAAAAGTTATGAAGTGACATATTAAGTAACTACATATAACTGCCCACTCACCAACTATTAAATTGCGCAAGATTATTGGTTGATTTTTTTTATTACTTTTTTAAGTAAAAAATTTAAGTTGATACCCATTTCTATTCAATTCAATGCCTTATAAAATATAAAAACTAATTCACAACTTACAACAGCTGATCTTTGAGACTTTACTGCCATCCACTTTTTGACATTTTTGAAGTTGCCCCACTCCCTATCACCAGAGCAGTAAGTATTTCCTTTTCTTTCTGAAATTTTCAATATTGAGTTCATCAATTTGACTTGTAAATAAATTAAAATATTTCAATAATTTTTGTTTTAAAGAATGTGGGAATAATTACATAGGCATAATTAGTGTTGATAATTTATTAGTTTTGTAGTATAGTTGATTATTTAAAGCTCATAAATGAACGAGAGAAAGTGTAGTTTAAATCTTACAAGGGAATAAATAACCTGATTCATATGTCAGTGCTCCTCAAGCTGGTGGTGGCATAGCAACATTTTCAGGCAGAACCCGCCAGGTTGTGGAGTTGAGGTGTAACAATCACAAATGGGTAAAACTCAGTCTTAAAAACCTGCTTGTAATGGGTGCCAATCATACGAGGTTTGCCAATTAAGTTGTAGCACTAATAGTATTATGTTTGGGACATTTAAACTTGCTTATAAGTTTCTAAACAGAATTTGTAACAGTAAAAAAATGTTATAGGTCTTCTTTAAAGTTGAGTCACAGAATGCCTACATGGTTCATTGAACTGAGAATTTCATGGAAACAAGAGCCAAACTACATCATAAACTCTTTACTTTTTCTGATAATGCTTTCCTTCTCTTCTTGAATGGAGGGAAAATCATCACACAAAATAAAAAATAGGCATGGCATGGCATGCGGCAAATATCGAAATATTTAGACAAGCTAACCATTAGCCCCAACTGTGGTGAATCAAATAATCACACCAATAGTGATACATAAAATGAAATAAAACGCTAAAAAATTATTATTTAACTTGGGTGAAGCAAATGATCACACCATACATAGTAAATTTAAACTGCTAATGAGATATTTTATATAGACAAACAAAAATATCTCTTAAATGTCAGATCCAATTCTTTACAATGATTCTGCAGACACAAGGCTTTTGACTGCTGCAAGAAGAGCCACAGCACAACGATCTGGACTTGAGAATTTCCTATACACTGCCTTTAATTTACTTTTTGATGCCAAAGAGTTTAATGTCATTAACACCTTTGCACAACCCCTGTAGATTAACAACTCAACTCAATAAAAACATATTGAAAAAGTGATGCTCAACGTGAAAATAACAAGAAAAATGCTAACCTTATCTGATCCTCAGAATAGCCTGTGTGGTGCTTTAGATTTTCACTCCAGAAAGGCCTCTTCTCAAGGGTGCATCGTGCAGCATAAACAGCTGATGCAGCAATTAACGATGGAGGATACAAAATGATGGTAGGATACTGCATCAAACCAAGTTCAGCTAGGAAAAATACCATGTTCTCCATCTGCATTGTTGATGAAAGTTTAATAAACTAATCTGGGTTTTCATCAGATTAAACATGGAAGAGCAAAATAATGACAAGTCCTGCATTTTACCTTCTTATCTGATGGAACAGAGGCCTTGATATATCGAACCAGGAAAACGTATGGTGTAGGAACAGTTAAATGCCATTCCAATTTCCCTAAGATTGCTTTCTCCATGACAAGAACCTGTTCTCTGAGATAAGCATTGTCTGATATGCAAACAAAGTCATTAACCTGAAAATTTTACAGAAATGAATGTCAGACAAATTGAAAGTAGAAAATGTAAAAAAATCCCAATAAAGGAAGGATACAATACTACCTCAGGTGCCCAAATCTCTTCATACTTGCAGGCAATGAGCATTGAGCTGATGCCAACTAACTGAAGTTCCCTCCTTGGCACATCCTCTTTCGAAAGGAATCGATCGACAATGTTTAAGGTAAGATAGAGGGTTTCTGGCATTAGCTGGAATTTTCGATGAACTTCTGTCAACCAATCCACCAATATTGATCTCATTTTTTCATTAATTTCTGGTTGTGCATCCATGTAGTCGTGTACTCGACCCTCATCCTACATCAAAAAAGCTCACATTAATATCTGATCGACAGATACCGAGAAAGATATCGAGATTAAGTGATCATTACTTCTGCGAGTTTGTAGTATTTGTAAATATCATCAACATATTCAACCACTGCCAATTCATTATCAATATCAGCTGCATCAATGTCCGGGATCAAATCCTTCGGCTTATCGGTGAGTCCAGAGGCAGCCTGTAGTATAGATCATATTCAGCAAAAGAACAAGAACACAAAGCAAAATGAACAAATAGAATCACAGTAACTATAAAAGATCACCTTGCTTCGAGCTGTCAAGACCGACGAAAAGGCCTTTCCATCCTTCCTTGAAGACCCTTCTTCTCTTGATACCTTTCTACTAACATGTTTAGTCTCCTGATCACTTTCATCAGAGCTTATCACTATCACTGTCTCAGGTTTTGGCTTGTCAATAGCTTTCCTTTGATCCGCCACCGCTTTTCCGGCTACAACGCCTTTCTTTAATGCAACTCCATTTGCAGCAAGTGCAGCATTGACAACTTCACTGACTTGTTTCTGCCCATTAAGAGTAGCAATTATGAGTATGAAATTATGAATTAACAAAATTAAGGGCGAAAAAGAGAGTTTTTACCTTTCCTTGTGGGGCTCGTTCGGTTACTAAATTTCCAATATCTTGAAGAACCCTCCTGCTCCTTCCATCTCCTAATGCATTCTTCTGCTTCACTTCCCCTAAATGATTTCCAAGAAATTCAATTTCCAAAAATCTTTGTTACAAAACGAATGAACAAAAAAATCACCCAGAAAACTAATTAAAAAAATTCCAACCAAAATTTTGCAAGATCCAAAGAAAGAACAGTATAAACAATCCCAAATTAACATTTTTTCGCAAACCCAGTTGCGAAAACCATAAACACAAAAGATGATAAAGCTGGAACGGAATTTAGTTAAAGGTTCAGTGAAGAAAATGGTACCTTTAAGTTGATGTTGAGGAAGAATAACTTTTGAAGCGATGTCCATGTCTGGTTCTTCTTGAAATGGGGCAAAGGCTCCTCCAATGCTTGCGAACAAAGAAGAAATAAAGTTTTGGAGACGGCTAGTACGCGTCTTTCCTTCTCCTTCTGCGTTTATGGTCGCCACCCTCTCTATTTCTTTCAAAGTTATTTGCTTTTCGGCAAATTCTTTCTCACTTTCTTGTTTTTGTGCGTTCTGTTATGAGTTCTGGGGAGAAGGGCTGTGTTCATTCGTCCCCTTTTTGAAGGAGCGCAAGCTCCAAGCCTCCAACGGTCTTATTATTGTTGTCAAATATTGGCCGTTGGATTCTCTGATAATCTAAAGGCTATCTTCTCGCTTTATGGTTTGGAATTTTCTAGCCGTTTGAGGAACGGGCTTTCCATTTGGAAAGGCTCGGGTCGGGTTTGGGTTGGCTCAATTAATGTCATGGATCTTATGGCCTTTTGCAAAGAGCATATTTTAATAAATTTTTTTGATTTTATTAATAAACATAATATTAATGATTGCTTACACTTATCGAAACAAATGGTGGAGACTGATGATATCATGATAATGGTGTGACAATGTGTACCTAAAAGAAAATTAAATTAAATTGATTTATTAATATATCTATCATTAAATAAAAGTATTTTATAAACGGTAAGGAATTTCAAAAATAACTATTTCTGTTCTTTATCTAATTTCATATTTATTTAATTCTTTATTACCAAATAATTCTTGTGGATAAATTGGTAACTCTTTCATTCCCACTACACATACCTAGGACTGCAAACGAATCGAACACAAACGAACACCTCGTTTGAAAATCGTTCGATAAGCACAAAGGGTATTCGAAATCGTGTTTGAACTCGAACGAACACAAAATGGCCGTTTGAGTTCGTTCAATTAACAAAACGAGCTGTTCGTGATCGTTCGACCAATCGTTCAATTAACTCGTTCGAATAAAAAATATACACCAAATTTGGGTTGGGCCAGGTTAGTTTATTGGTTATTAGGTTTTTATTTTATACATATATAATGTGTAATTGTGTATATACAAAATTATTATCATATATATATTAAATATGTTTAATATGTTATTAAATTATCAAAATTATAGGTTATCATATATATATTATCATTACATAAATTATCATAAATATTTTAAATGTCTATATATATATTTTGTATCAACACCCATAAATTTATGTTATTAAATTTGTTATGCTATGTATCACTTGATTATACAATATGTTATGTTCATTAATTTATCATACTATAGTTATTATTTATTAATTGAAATGCTATCTCATAATATTTAATTATTGATTATATTTGGAAAAATATGAAACTATTATGTTATTAGATTTGTTATGTTATATATCACTTGATTATAAAATCTATTATGCTATTAAATTTGTCATGATATATATCATAATAATTTATTATTTATTAATTAAAATGATATATACTTATATATTTAATTATTGATGACATTTGAAAAAAAAAATTCAAATATATATATATAAACAAATGCATCATAATATTTTATTATTGATTACCATTAAAAAAAATTATCTAAACTAAACCAAACATTATATAAAAAAGAAAAAATATGAATTAAAGACCTTAAAGTCAAAAGAATTGCATTTTTAATACTAAACCATAGAAAATCCTTAATAAACTTAGCACCATATAAATATATATAATAATATATATCATGTACGAACGAATAAGCCAACAGGGTATTCGCGAATGGATGGATCACTCAAATGCAGTATGTTCATAAACATAATCAAACGATCATCCCATGTTCGAACTCGAATCAAACATATTATCGAACGAACATCGAACTGATCGTGAACAGCTTGGCTTGTTTGCAGCCCTACACATACTTGACAAAGAAAATGAGAGAGTTGTAAAAGGAGATCATATACGCATCTATTAAGATTTTCAAAACTAATATTTGGTCAGGGGTTTATTTCATTTCAAATCTTTGAAATCTTTATATATATATTATCCGTTTTATTCAAAAAGTACTAAAACGAGAAGTGATTTTTAGCGTCTAGCTAATTGATCAGTATCCCCACACTTCTAAATATAGTTTTTGTTTTGACAAGTTTATTCTTAATTAAAATTACAATAAATGAAAGTATAATTTCTAAATACATTCTCTCTCTCTCTCTCTCTCTCTTTTTTTTTTTAATTGTAATTTTTAACCTTTGATTTTACATAAACCATAACCCTAAATTTTTATAATATTTGATACCCTTTGTTTTATTTAAATATTTGTTTGTTCCACGAAAATATAATACTAACCTATGAAAAAAGTATTTACACAACATGATAAATTTAAATCTGAATTAAAAAAAAAATGTTTCAAATTTGAAATTAAGAAATTGGAGAAAACATGTAAACCAAAAACCTAATTAAGTTTGGGATTGGAAAAAAGAGGTTAAGATAAAAACCTGATTAAGTTTGAAATTTGGAAAAATAAACCTAATTAAGTTTAAAAGATTATTTTAGATATTAAATATGACTTTTTTAATTATAAAAAAAAAAAAAAAAAAGTGTATTTAACGATGGGGATTCTCATTAACTATAACGGCTAAAAGTCACTTCCCTTCAAAACACTTCTATAATTGTACACAGAGCTCTTTAAAAATATGACAAATATCTTATAAAATTATCAAAAATCCATAGATAATAGTTTCAAATACTTTTTGATCGAAGCCATGATAATGCTAAGCAATCTCATGAAAGCAAAAATGACCAAATTTTTAAAAAACATGTGCATAATTTGTGCTTCTCTACTTGGCATTTGCAATGCAGCTTCTTTCCTTCTTTCAGCAAAAACTGGTAACTCTTTCATTCTCACTTTAGTTTTGTGTGAAACCTGTGCCATTCATTTTCAAGAACTGTACTAACAAGGGAATAAGAAAGGGTTTTAGCTAAAAGGGTATTTTTTTTTTTTAAATGGCACAACGAAATGTGTTAAACTTAAGATTTCAATTGTTCTTTCATATGGTTGACTGCAAAGTATTTTAGATTTAGTTACACAATTTGGAGTCTCTTCTGGGTTGGATGGTGAAATGCGACTTCAATTTTAGAAGTTAAGTCATTTGAGGCTTGGAGCCTAATAACCAAGGTATATGTGATATAGTTTCTGTGGTTACTGGTTAGGAAAGCTAACTGTGTGATTGAGCAATGTATTATTGAGGATCAAACAACGGGAAAGGCTATGGCCTTTTGTGTGTGTGTGTGTTTTTATGAAAACAATCAAAATAAATTTTTGATGTGGCAACGGCAAGCTTTTATTTGTAAGAGTGTACTTCTGGATTCTGGAGCTCTTTCTAGCTTGTTGTCCTTGTTATTTCATGAAGGAAATCCTTTGCATTTGTTATTCTCATATATGCATTTCTATTTGCTTTGTATTTTTTATTCTAAAATATGCCTGTTTTTTTTTTTATTTTTTTTTTTGGGTAAGTAAAAATATGCATTTCTATTTGCGATATATTACTTTTATTTGAGACAGATTATTCTACATGTTACTTTGAAAATGTCATAGCCTTACTTGAAGGTTCTCTTTTCCCCTGTGCTGCTAGCCTCACATGCATTGTGTAATTTTCTCTTATTTTTTATGTGAAAATTTCAGGAGGTGCAAAGTGGGTGTAAATTCGCATTAAGAACACTGTTTGAAATGCATTACATGCTTTTCTATCTGTCTCCAAATGCAGAAATGTATTTATCAAGCTTTACATGATACCTAAAAATGCCATTGCCTGTCGCTTTGAGTTAGAACAGTTTGCTTCAGTTAGCTCATTAGAAGCGAATTTAGATGTTTCTTCTGCTGTTTCAGTTCTGAATGACTTCCAGAGGTTAGATCTCACTCAGTTGCTTGTTGCTTATTTCATTCTCATCATATATTGATATCTTTTAACGTCTGTTGAATTACCTCAATTTTGACATATTAATATCCAAGTGTACTTTCAAGAGCTGATTGGTACCTCTGCATAAAAGGTTTGTTATGTTCAGTTTAAAATGTGAAAGGCATTGCCAACGTGCACTGTTTTGTTCTTAGCAAAACTTTCACAGGAAATCTGCACTAAGTAGGTGTAAAATGTTGCTTGACCACTCAAGTAACCCTTTTGATGGCATCAATGATTTTGAGACAACCATGGGAATTATTTGGTGAAGTGAAAACTATGATTATTATGGGGAACAAAATTGATGCCATAGACCTGCTTTAAGCAAATTATGGAGCTGTACAAGAATAGATGAATCATAATGAAAGCCTATTCTGTTTCTTTCTTACTTCTACCTAGAAGCCAATCCAGCGATGCAATGACAAGTCCTGAACATGTCTTGGCTGGAACACATTAAACTCTGCAAATCTAGGGCTTCCATACACACCTGTGAAGTTAATTTGGGAACCACACATGCTTCAATAGCGTAAATAGTGCATATACCTTACCTTAATATGAAACTAAAAACATGCTTATCCCCAAACCAAAACTGGCAAACAAGAAGAGTTCAACCTTTGCAGAAACAAAAAGCCTCTTCTTAATAAACATGACTTTATGGTTCATATTTCTATTACACTGGTTATTCCTTAGATATCATGCAAAATGGATCCTGCTCCTTTGATCTTAGACTTGTCCATGAAAAAAAATGAAATTGGAGTTTGAAGAAGGGAAAGGCATATGCAAAGAGTTTTCAAGATTGTAAGAGACAGAGGAAGATTCTTCATATTCTAGCATTGTTAGTAGTCTTCTTACCATGATGGGGCTTACTGAAGAAGTAGTTGAAGTAATCTGAGAAGAGAAGTTGCTTGTATATAGGAATCTCTCTTATTTCCATCAACTCTGGCAAGGGACCGATAACAGCATCAGATCCTGGGTTAACAAAGATAGGGACTGAATCCCTGTTTTTGTTTCGGTTGACAACCACACGGTGCTCAGTACTTTTGTATCAGTCATTGCTTACTATTTGTAATTTCTCCAACATTAACAAGAAGGGCTCCATTGATCGGGGGGACATGAATCCAAGTGTCACCCTCAGTTCCTCGGACATAAAGCCCACCATTATCATCTTGAAGAAGGACAGTGATTGTTGATATTAATCCTGCTGTGAGTTCAGGGTTTGGGACCTTGGATAGTAGTTAAGGTTGATTCTTGGTGAACTTTGCTTTGTCTCACATCAAGTCCTTTCAATAGCACTTCCAGCAGTCTTTTTACGACAATTTGGGCTCTCTTCATGCAGTCTAGCACTTGATCACTACAAGAAATTAAATATTTGTTTTAGTTCTCCCGATAGTACTACCTGGGCTCAGAAATTTCTCATTGGATCTAATTAGCAGACTTTGTGCATGCAAATGTTATATCGAAGTTGTTCCACAGTCGTGTCCTAAAAGGAAATTGAGACTGGATGAGTGTTGAATTCAGCTAAAAATATGGGGAAAAACTTCAACCAAATGATATGAATACATTTAAAAAAAAACCACACGTGATATATAAATTAATAATCTCTTTATACAATAAAATTATACATATACATGACTCAATTAGAAAACCTTAGTAAAATATGATTATAATGTTATTTGTTTTCTCTTGAAATTGATGTCTTTTTGGATTTTACCTCTTAACTTTTTTGGTGATTTTGAGGCGATGGAGCAGGGAAGAAAGGTGAAAAGGATTTGATTTTAGTTTTTTTTTTCTTAAGTTTACATATACAGATTAAAATAACATAATTACTCTTTAACTGTTTTTTGAATTTACCATTATATTCTTCTTTAATTAAAGTTAATCGTAGGTCGATGGAAAAGTGTCGTTTTGAACTTTTCGAGTAAGAAAGTGCCCTAATGCCAAACCTGGGTAAGAGGAAAATGTCGTTTACTCTTAAACCTGAAAAACTATCTCAAGTGCGTGTACCAGTTTTACCTCTCCTGACAACTTTAACGGGATTTTGTTAACGTTTGAAAGGTAGTAGGAGGTCTTGCGTGCGTCAATACTAATACCCGAGGGGCTATAGATTTGGCTAAACCTTGGGGATTTTAAAGTAATTATACCTAACTTTTGAATACATTTTTAAAAATAAACTAAATAAATAACTATTATTAAAATTCATAGGAAAACCGGTTATCACGTTGATAAGGTAACATAGCCAGAAGAAAATTTGGAGTATTCATGGAAGCAGTGGTTCCAAAACTGGCGTCTTTCACTTTCTTAAACCCTAACTCACCACTTCGCAGGTTTTCTTCTCCTTCTTCTTCTTCTTGTCTCTGCCTTTTGTCTTCCACCGACGCCGTTTCGCTCGGTCACCTCACTCGCCCCGATTTCCCCATTCTCCACCAGCAGGTTAATGGCTCCAAGAAACTCGTCTACTTAGACAACGCCGCAACTTCTCAGAAACCAATTTCTGTGTTGAATGCTTTACAGAATTATTATGAAGCTCATAATTCCAACGTCCACCGCGGAGTTCATTACTTGAGGTTTTAATTAATTGCTTTTGTTGATAATTGTGTTTGAGTTGGCTGAATTCTGTTTGATTTTAGTAGTGTTTTGTTGTGAACGTAGTGCGAAGGCTACGGAGGAGTATGAGTTGGCCAGGAAGAAGGTCGCGGCTTTTATTAACGCGTCGGATTCTAGAGAGATTGTTTTTACGAGGAATGCTACTGAAGCTATCAATTTAGTGGCGTATTCTTGGGGCCTTTCAAATCTGAAATCAGGAGATGAGGTATAANTTTCTTCTCCTTCTTCTTCTTCTTGTCTCTGCCTTTTGTCTTCCACCGACGCCGTTTCGCTCGGTCACCTCACTCGCCCCGATTTCCCCATTCTCCACCAGCAGGTTAATGGCTCCAAGAAACTCGTCTACTTAGACAACGCCGCAACTTCTCAGAAACCAATTTCTGTGTTGAATGCTTTACAGAATTATTATGAAGCTCATAATTCCAACGTCCACCGCGGAATTCATTACTTGAGGTTTTAATTAATTGCTTTTGTTGATAATTGTGTTTGAGTTGGCTGAATTCTGTTTGATTTTAGTAGTGTTTTGTTGTGAACGTAGTGCGAAGGCTACGGAGGAGTATGAATTGGCCAGGAAGAAGGTCGCGGCTTTTATTAACGCGTCGGATTCTAGAGAGATTGTTTTTACGAGGAATGCTACTGAAGCTATCAATTTAGTGGCGTATTCTTGGGGCCTTTCAAATCTGAAATCAGGAGATGAGGTATAATTTTTAGTTTTATTTTTATTTATGTTTATTAGGATTGTTTGAGGGCATATGTTAGACAACCCTTTTTATTATTATTATTATTTTTAGATATTATATTTTAGCCGCTGAATATTAGACTCAGTTTTAATTGGTGAAAAGATTGCGGATGTAAGAGTTGAGGATTAAGGATTAATTTGTGGTTAAGGTGGATTTTTGGGAAAGAGGGATTGAAGAACAGATTGATGTTTGTTTATATATATAGACGTTGCATAACATTAATTTTCTTGCAGATCGTACTCTCAATTGCTGAACATCATAGTGCGATTGTTCCCTGGCAAATTGCAGCTCAAAAGACTGGTGCGGTTTTGAAGTTTTTGGATATAAATGAAGATGAAGTTCCAGATCTAACCAAGTTGAGGGAATTGCTCTCAAGGAAGACAAAACTTGTAGTTCTTCATCATGTCTCAAACGTGCTTGGTAGGTATCCCATTGCGGAAACTTCTGCTTGAGGCAATAAACTTTTAATGGTTGATTATTTGACAAATTCTTGTTATTTGTTAGCCTTTTGGGTTTACAGTATCTATTGCTCTTGTACTTGGCATATACTTTTCAGCATGTATGATTTTAGTGCTTTGGAGACCCTATTAAGTCAGATCTGTTGTTGTTTATTACCTCAATAGAACTGTGGCCATTTAAAATTCCTACTGTTTACTTATAATTACCAACTTTACCATGTTTTTGGTAAGCTCTGAACTGACATATAGTTGTGCCTTTACATAGTATAAATAGAGTCATGTTTTCTCCCTTTTTGTTTGTTTTAGTGGTTGATGGTTTGACTAATTCTCAGGTTATACCATTTCCTTTTCTACTGAGGGAAAGGTAACAAATTGGTTATGCTGGTTGAGATTTTTTTTTTGTTTAAGATTTTGGTTCTTAAAGTGAATCGGCCATTAATTCTTTAGATGAGAAGATTCCATCTTTTGCTAATAGTATTGAATTTCGTATTGCGAAATGGACCATAAAGTACTTGGGTCATCCTTTAGGGGGAAATCTGAAGACCTTGGAGTTTTTGGTTTCCGGTTGCGGAGAGTTGAGGAAGAATATTGGAAGGGTGAAAGAGTGCTTGTCTTTCTAGAGGAGGGAGACACTAGTGTAATTATTGTTACATAGTCTGCTAATATATCATTTGTCAATTTTTAGAATACTTGTTACAGTGGCTAGAAGGATTGAGAAGATGAGATTTTTGGGGGGAAGGTTATGGCGAAGGAAGAAGAATCATTTAGTAAGGTACAAGATAGTGTCTACACCTAGGAATCATGGTGGTTTGGGGCTTGCTAATTTTAAAAGAGGACGTCCCTGGTAATTTATTACTTAAGGATATGATGCCTTTGTTTCTAATTCTAGATTGGTGGTTGGTAATGATCAATGGCTTGTATATTGAAGGAAATCTGGCTGGTTATTCTTTAGCTTCTTTATTTTCGTGGTTCTAATGAGAGGATATATTTCACGTTGATCATTGTACTTGGGAGTGGCTTTTCCCTTGTAGTAAAAAGGAAATGCCAACTAAGATGGAAACACAATATACCCCTCTGTCCTGCTCCTACCGTGATTCATGCCCTAATATTTCTTGAAGTTGCCCAATTCTTTTGTTCATGTTCTTTTCTACTGAGTTTTACATCATATTGTCCCTATTGAGATCTCATTTATATACGTAAGTACATGATGCCACACAATTAGCAATCTTTTCTTTGAAACTATGAACAAACACCGTGCAAATTAGATGCTCCCCCTCGTTTACTGATAATATTGATGGGAGATCTTTTAGATATTAATCAATAGTGATTACTTGTTAATGAAAATATTAATATGTTTATATATAATTTTTCTGTAGCTTCTGTTCTTCCAATGGAAGTGATTGTGAATTGGGCTCACAACGTCGGTGCTAAAGTTCTTGTAGATGCTTGTCAAAGTGTTCCCCACATGGTGGTGGATGTCCAGGGTCTTGATGCTGATTTTCTTGTTGCCTCTTCTCATAAGGTTTGGTTATTGCCTTGTATAGTGAAATTTAAGCCTTATTGGAAACTTTATGAGCTTAAGAAATAATCATGCTTCAGATGTGTGGGCCTACAGGCATCGGATTCTTATATGGGAAGAGTGATCTTTTGTCTGCCATGCCTCCGTTTTTGGGTAAGCTCTTACTTTTGGAGCTAAAATTAGAGCTTTCCTTTGAAGTTAAATTTTTGCCTACAAGAGTTGTGCATCTCTGATTCTGTGTCAGTTTTTGCACTGGTACAGTTTCTAGGTGGTTCCAATCTGATGTGTTGTAATTTCTTTTGTTCTTAGGTGGTGGAGAAATGATTTCTGATGTTTTCCTTGATCATTCTACATATGCAGATCCTCCATCCAGGTTGGACTTTTATTACACTTTTTACCAATATTATATTATAAATGGACACAAGTACTGGAGTGCGGGAAGATTTCTTTTATTTACCTTACATTTATTGAATCTGTTTAAACTTTGGTAGCCCGGTGAAAATGTGAATGTATTTAGTCATCAATTCTTCTAGGACATTAGCTGATAACCATATAACTTGTGCTTTTTCATAAGAATTGGGATGAAATTATCTCCAAAAAGGAAAGGGTTTGTTTCTGCTATTGTGGACATGTAGTCCACTTTTGTAACTCCTTTTCATCATTAATTTTTATCCTTTTATTCCTGGTGAGGAAAAAAAAAAGTTTTCTTGTGGAAACATATGAACATCATGACTTATAAATATGCGTTTAGAAATTATTGGGGAAGTAGTTAGATTGGAACAAAACTGATTTACCCACTCTTTCTAGAACCACTTCCTTTTATGTTATATTTTTCCAGTTCCTTTTTCACCAAATATTTATTTCATTGACGTTTCTTTATATACCTAAGTTTCACTGTTCCAGATATTGCTTTAAGAATGTGTTGCCTTTTTATGTTGCTAACATTTTATCACTATCATTATATACTACACAAATATCATCGTGGAGATATGTGCTCGAGAACCTTAGATGGGGGTGTAGTCCATATCTCTACTACTTCTAGAGTTATTCCACTTGAGTTTTTTTCTCTCTTAGGGATGTGTACCTCCTTTCCCGGTTTGATTCACAAGAACCCCAAGATTTAAACCCTAATGTATCTCGTCTACTGTTAGATTTGTCCCTTAAAATTCTATCACAGATTTCACTTATGGTAACAGTAGGTGAGATGTGAGATAAAGTTTTGATTTATAGGGGTCTACATTATGTGGACTGAATTTATAAAGGAGATTGATGGTATATGCCGTTTTTAGTAATAGGTTGAACAAGTTGGAAGATAGTGGTAGAGAAATCATCCTTTTTATTTGTGGTGCAAACTGAGCTGTCTCTATTGATTGCTCCTTTTCAATTTTCGTTCTTTACAATTGAAAGCATCTGTCAGATGTCACGGTAATGTAGTTTTTGCTCAAGGATATAATTCAATAAGTTTGTATTACATTCTTGTAATTTGTTCTTTTTTTTTTTTTAATGGTTGATTCAGTTTTTTCAGGGAATCAATATTTTTAATATGATCTATTTATCACTCTGGTATCTTGAGTGCATGTTAATTGTTATTACTTCCTATATGTGCATTATTCCTTTTCCTTCTGAATGACTACAGTAGTTAAATCCATAATGTGCCACTATGTATGAACATTTCATTGTACACTATCCTGAGCTATGTTCTCCTCATTAAAAATAATTTTAAATTTATCTGCAATTCTAATTTAACAAAGTTGAGGATCATTCAGTCATGCATTTTTATTGTATAATCATCTGTGGATCAGATTTGAAGCTGGAACACCAGCAATTGGAGAGGCAGTTGGGTTAGGAGCAGCAATTGATTATTTGTCAGCAATTGGCATGCAGAGGATCCATGAGTATGAGGTAATTTGGTTTTTCTGCTTTCTGTCTTTCCCAGAGAAATGCTAACATATCATTACCACTGGAATTACTTCGGTATATTTGCATGAACTGTAGCCCTCATCTGTTGCATTGCACTTCCCAATAAAGGAATCCTCTCTGATCCTGAAGGGATTTATATATTTTTGTTATATTTTCTGTTGAAAATTTTAGATCTTCCAAGATATCGAGATGCATACATCTACTTGTACAGGTTGGGTGTCCATTTGTAATCTCAGCTTAATCCATTTTGAATATAAAACTTGAGCTTGGATTGCAGCATTTGATTTGCTGTGGACTGTTACTGATTTGGTCAGAGAAATAAGAGATTAGTTGCTTGTGCATTGTCCTGTGGGCTCTTAAATTACATTCATTGAAACCTCAAGAGCCGGGTTTAGTGGTAAATGCCCTATATTTCAACTAAGAAGTCAAGGATTCAAATCCCTTTGGACCCACCTACTTAAGACATTATCCAGTGAGTTTCTTTGTTACCAAGGTTGTGTGATTTGGAAGAGCCTGTAATTTAGAACTTGATCTGGAAGAGTCATCTACAAGAGTGTTTCGGGTGTGAAGACAAGTTTTTAACACATTACTATAGAAGTTTATGGGGATGTTATTTTCTTGGGAATCTCTGTTTTCTATCCTACTACATCATCCCTTTTATATTTCTATGAACTTGGTAACTAGGTATTTGTATTTTTAGTTCTTTTTTCTGTAACCCTCTTTCTTGACTAATTTTATACTTCAATTTTTTTTTTTTTTTTTTTTTTTTAAATATTCCTTAAAGGGAGTGAATTAGAAGCCATATTATTATGGTGCTGTCTAGTTTTATCATATGCTTATCATGGCCACAATTGGTGTGTTGCAGACGGAGCTGGCTAAGTATTTATATGAAAACCTCGTTTCCGTCCCAAATATTCGGATCTATGGCCCCAAACCTTCAGAGAATGTTCATCGGGGTGCTCTTTGTTCTTTCAACATTGAGGATATTCATCCAACGGATTTAGCAACTATCCTTGACCAACAGGTACTAGAAAAATGAGGCCTTAAACACTTGCACACATGGAATGTTTACATTTTGTGTTTCTTTTCTCTTATATATATATATATATATATATATATATATTAGTCATTCTAACGTATTGTCCAAAAAGCAAAAAAAAAAATTGCTTAAACAGATTGAATAGGAATATATTTTGGTAGCTACTAACACACTCAAATACAGCATGGAGTGGCTATCAGATCGGGTCATCATTGTGCTCAACCTCTTCATCGGCATTTAGGAGTCAATGCAAGTGCACGCGCTAGCCTCCATTTTTACAATACTAAAGAAGATGTTGATGATTTCATCCAGGCACTGAATGAAACTGTCAGTTTCTTCAACATGTTTAAGTAAAGGTGTTTTTTTTTTTTTTTAATCAATTGTTCTTTACATTTACTGTATACTATATGAGTTAATCTTCTTTGATCTGTATTATGATGGCTAATATTTGTCTAGAGATTCCGGCCTGTGACTCTGAGTTCACCTTTACCAGATTTCTTATGTGTTTGTGCTGTTGGAATATGCGGACTGAGTAATTCGGAAATATTTATGGATAGAGGTTGTCTAATTGCAATAATCATGCGCCGAATTAAGCCAAGTTCAAGCTTTCTAATACTCTTAACCTGAGTGACTCGCGAGCTTACCGAGCTCGGCAAAATATAATCCTAAATCCCTAAGGTTTCGTTTGTTTCGTTTTTGGGATTACTATTATTAGTATTCTCAAAAAAGCTAAACAATAAAATGTCATTATTCTTAAAATATTATTTTATATTTTTCAATTTCTTTTAAATCTCCTAAATTTGTTAATTTAACTATACACTCTCAAATATTTTTTTTAGAAATTGCAAAAATACTCTGGCCACCCTTCCGCTATGGTGGCCGGCTGTCCATATTTAATGGGGGGGTTAGGGGTGTTTTTGTTAACTTTTAATATTTTATTATATGGGTATTTAGTAAATAAACAAACATAAGGGATATTTTTGTTAATTTTCAAATCCTATATCGTAATATTCGCCCAATTTAACTTTTTTCAAAAGATTATTCTAAAAACTATCAGAATAATGAACCAAACGGAGCTAATTCTTCTCTTTCTCTCTTTATTCTTCCTTCCACCCTTCCTTTATTTATTTGCTTTTTCTCCCCTCCTTAGGCATGGCAATGGGGCAGGTCAGGGCCAAGGACCCTATTCCCCATCCCCGCCTCCATCTTCAAAATACTCCTCGTCCCCATTACAAGGATGACGGGGGATTCTTCGTCCCTGCCCCACGGGGAATTTTAGAGGTCTGTCTTCATCTCATTAATTTTATATTGACATCAATTATGAGAATAGACATATAACAAAAACTATTTGAGTATTACCAAACACAATAGTTAATTCTCTTTCAATATTGAGATTCATCTACATGATAAACACTTAAGGTAATGTTTATCATGTATGTATATATATATGGGGCGGGGATTAAAACTCCTCCCGTCCTCGCCTTATCCCTACAAAAACCGGGAAAATTCAGGGGGCCATTGCCATGGCTACTCGTTCTTCGCCACTCTCTCTTCTTCCGTCTTTTTTTCTCTTTTCCCTCTCTTTTTCTATTTTACCTCTTCTCTCTTTTTCCTCTTTCTTTCTCAACAAATTCGCAATGTTTTAAAACTAGGCCCGGCCGGGCCGGTTGAAACGATTCGACTGAGACCCGACTGGTGAACAAGGTCGGGAGAGGCAAAAAACCAGAAAAGTCATTTGGCCCAGTTTCACCTGCGATTGGACCGATGTATTGTAGCAACCTGCCGGTCCAACCGATTTTTCCCAAAAACCGAGTCAAACTAAAACCCCATTTATTTTGCTAAACCCACTTTCCACCTGTTTTCACCCATTTGTGATCCATGTCCCTAAAATCTTCCACCAATGACTCCCCCATTCTAAATCCCTTTTACCATGTTTTCATTTGACAATCGAGTCGTAACCTACATTTTCTCTCTTCCATTTTTGCTTTCTTCATTTCATCTTCACTTTACCTTGTGTGAATCTTCCATTTGCACAAGCAATCTTTATTCCATCAAAATCAAACCCAAAAAATTTCTTCAAAATTCGTCATTTTCACGCAAAATCCCAAGAAAAATGACTTAAAAACCAGTGAAAAAGGCGCAGAGAACAATATGCAAATGGGTCCGTTAATGGTGATGATTCAAAGAAAGATTGACGAAGCCTACTTAGTTTAAAGTGGGGTGAGATTTTGGACCCGGATACGGATAACATATTCACCATTGGATTGACAGGAGTATTGACTTGGGCGAGGGTTCAAGTGTTGTGGCAATTGCTGGTAATTTCGTTCTTTGTTGCCGCTTTGAAATATTCTTTTATTGCGACCTTTCTCATCTTGATTCTCATCATTCTTCTTTGATTCGTACAACTCTGTAATGTATAATTGGCTTTTGTGAGTGCCCAATGTTTGAAATTGTGGACGTTGTTATTGTTGGTCACAAAGTGTTTGATAAATTACCTGACCAACATAGTTTCTAACCAACTTGATTATTTTTCTTTTTTTAACTCGCACAGGATACATGGCAAATGTTTACAACCGATTATTTATAGTTGCATTATAAATTTGATAGTGAGAAAACATATCCCTTTGATTACTTTGATTGTTGCATTATAAATTCAAGGGAGGAATTTGATATATATCCTTTTGACTACTTTGATCTAGGATTCACAAATCAAATACATGCTTCTTGTTCACTAATCACAATGGGTTTATTCTTTTTAAAATTCTCAAGTTTATGTTTTTTTATCAAATCAAATTGCAAATAATGGGTTTATATTTTTTAAAATTTTCAGGTTTGATGGCATCATCAAGATGACATCACCGGCCCAACCTGCCAGTCGAACCGGTTTAACTAGTCGACCTAAGACCCGGCCATATTGTCGGGTGACACCCCAAGTTGGGTATTAAAACATTGCAAATTTGATTCAACCCGCAGATTATGGTGAGATCTAGATGGGCCAGCAAGGCCATCACCAAACCAAAACAATTTCAGCCCACAGGTCACCATGGTGAGGGTGACCACGGGTTGCCGCAGTGGAAGACCGCTGGTGAACGGCAGCCACGTCACAGCTTAACCCATGCTCAAGCCTTCAAGACCTGACCCGCGACTTCGCTTGTATGAATATTGATTTTTGGGTTTATTTTGGCTAGTATAAATATTGATTTGTGTTTTTGGATTGATTGTTAGACATTGTTTTAAAAACCGGATCGGACCGGCTGGTCCAACCGGTTGGACCGGGACCAAGTCAAGTGTCCGGTTCGAGTCACCATCAAACCCGTAATTACACATTAACCCGCTTTAAACCGTTTGAAAACCAGATATAATAAGTGAACCGCCGGTCCAACCGGACCGATGGAAAAACCGGTCGAATGTGAAAAAATCCTAACTCTACACAATCGCAATTGCAAGCCCGTTCATTCTGAAATCTGAATCTGATTTCATCTCTGTTTCTCTGATTTCTCATCTTCTTCTCCTAAGCAAATTCCTCTTTGAAATCGCACTCAAATCGCAACCATTCACCAAATCGCAAGTTCGCAACTAAACTCTCTCAAATCGATGCTGACGCGTTCCTCCCTCGCCGGAAATCGACGACGACAACTCCATTCCCTGCTGGAAATCAACGACGACGATGGCTGCTCCATTCCCTGCTAGAAATCGACGACGATGACGGCAGCTCCATTCTTGGACGACGACGACAGCAGTCCCATTCGTCGGCGACAGCTCCATTCCTCGACGATCCAGGTAATAAACATGCCATTTACAAGTTTATCTTCAATAATGATTTCGTTTTTAATGCTTAAATGTGATTCTTTTGTTTGCAATAATTTGTACTGTTAATCGGCAACAACAATTGAACCAGTTACACGCCATTCACAGGTTCATCTCTAATACGTATTAGAATTTTGGAGAAACTTTGGTTCAACCATCTAGTAGGAGGAATGCTTGCTTGCTGAATTAAATGTTGATGAACTTTTTCTGCGTATTTGCATTTTGCTAAAGGTAGTTTGTTTCCAAAGAATGTTGGTGCTCAATGAAATAGAATCCCTTATATTTACTTTTTCCGTGGAATTAAATGTTGATGAACTTTTTCTGCGTATTTGCATTTTACTGAAGGTAGTTTGTTTCCAAAGAATGTTGATGCTCAATGAAATAGAATCTCTTATATTTACTCCGTTATATCACCGGAATGCATGCATTTTTCTGCGTTTATTTTGCCAGTATTAAACTAAATTTGATCCCAAAATGTAGAGACTATTTTTCCTGTATCACCGAAGTCATGATGACAACTAGTATACATATTTATATGGAGGCTATTTTTCGAGTGAATTCTAAATTGGGGTTTGTTAGTTTAAGATTTAAACATGGGGTCTAGTTAATAAATTCGACTGAACCAAAAGACAAGTGATTATAATTTGCTGAAAATGTGTGATCCACCATTATCATTTTAAACAAATGATTGCATAAATAAACAACATCATGTTTTTGGTTAATGTGCTATCATCATTATGCTGTGTGATGACGTCACCGATCCAACCGATTGGACCGGTTGAACTGTGATCCAGGCAATAGAGCAGGTTGCCCTCCGATTCAGTTTTTAAAACAATGTTGTTAGAACAAAAAATTATGAATCTTGTGTTCGATAAAATTATTAATTCATATTAGTTTTGACTGATTACAACGGAGTCAAACTTGACTAAGTCATAATCAAGCTGAGCTTGAGCTCGAGCTCAACATTTGAGAGCTTTGACTGTTACAGACGAGCCAAGCTCAAGCCTCTAGATACTCAGCTCGACTTGGCTCAATTACACCCCTACGCAAAGGAATTGAGACAAGAAGGGAAGTTCTCTTTTTAAGTCTTTCAATTGTTTATGATACCACCAATAATATTTCAAACCTCTGGAAGGTCAATGACAATAATCCTAAACAAAGTAAATAAACATGTTCTTTATTTTTCTAATAAAAACCAAGTAAACAATCCTATATTTCTACAATTTGTATGCACCTCAGTTTCTACAATTAAGAAACCCCAGTATTTGTTAAAAAAAAAAAAAAAAAAAATGGCGACGATTTTATTTCACAAAACAAAGAGAAACAAAACCGGCGGCGTGGGGGGCAGCAAAGAAAAGACTATACAAAACCATAAAGTCTGCTTTTCTTCCAAAATAAAAAACCTACAGAAACCAAACTATTATAAGAATACTACAGTTACTGAAGGGTGTACACCGAAAGACGTGACAAAATTCTGACCGTAATTCATTATAAATTAATATTAATCAACAGTCAGAATTTGTCACGTTATTCGGTATACGAATTCGGTGTATAACTTTCAGTAACTTTATCATTTTCCAAATATTATATGCCCCTTACAAAATTGTGATTTTACAGTGACTTACACTGAAGGTTGAAAGAAGAAAAGAAAGTAGCAGCTATTTCCCAGTCAGTGAAGGAAGCAAGCAGTCATACATCCGCTCCATGCGTGATGTTACCCTGAGCTTATATTCAGTTGAAGTCCAGGCTTTGCCAAATCGATAATATCCTGTTTCAAACTGTTCAAATATTCTCGTTAGTTGGTGTTCAGATTCACAGTTATGACTGCACCTCTCTCTCTTCATAAACTATCTAATGCAGTACATATGCAGAAACATATAGGTGCCACAACCGAAGTACAATAGAGCAAAAAAAGCAAGTAAAATTCGGCAACTTAAACTTACCATGCCATTCACCAGTTGCTTTCGCATGCCCCTCAACGGCATGAAACAGGCGATCCAGACTGTACAACACTAATCCTAACATGCATTGAGCATCTTTTTCTGTAAAATGCAGTTGTCATGAACTACAGTCACATGGTTAAGAAATAATATCTAGAACAATGGTATGTAATACAGCTACAAGGGAAAACATGGCAATTCAGAAAAAATATAAGCTAACCATAAATTGACTTTTTAAAACTAATTCCACCCAATTATGTTTTTCAGTCGGAAGTATTTCTCATCATAACAATCACACAAGTTTAGACTAGAAAATGCCAAAGATCTAACTGGTTTAGACTTGGTTGTAACTTCATAATAAAACATTCATATTAATCCTCTTTAACGCTTCACATTGCCAAATATTTCTTTCGTAAGTCCCTTTAGGGAATCTCATCTCTTAAATGCACCAGTACGATTTCTGTGCTTCAAATTCACAACACTAAGCTGCGAGGCATATGCTTCCTCATAACCTTAGAAGCAACCCTTCCTCGTGCATTTGTTGGATGTAGATGGATAAAACTCTCCACACTAATGTGAGTTTGTTGTGATAGTGGCATAAACACAGGATGCATTAAGTCTGAGTCCATAAACCACACAAATGGTGTCTTCTTATTGTTCTCTTCATAGAACATTAAAATCTCATTCACAAACTCTCACGTCTTTGCATGATACGTAGCAATCCACCTCAATGTTACCCAAGATCCATGGACTACTTCAGTTTTAACCATCCATTATGGACAACTGTGATGGAATATTTTTAACACTATTTTTTACCACAAGGTGATTAAAAAGAATGCCTCGAACCCAAAATCTAAGAGAAATGGATGATGGCACACCATTTAGTCTTACCAACTTTTGGAAAATGAATTGAATAGAAAATAAATTCTGTCAAGCAAAATAGAATCTTACAAAGCATACTTAACGAAACTATGTGTTGTCACTAAATAATTATTTTTCTATTTGTAACTATAAACTTGCGAAAGAAAATTATAATTACCAAAATTAATAATAAATGGACAAGTGAAAGAAAATTATGTACATAATAATTAAACTTCTAGTAAATCAGAGGTTATCATTACATCATCAAATTTGTCCAAAAAACAAAACAAAAAAAAAAAAAAAAAAAATCAAGAGTCAATAAATTTCTTATAGTTTGTGCATCAGCTTTGTTTGACATCTATTTTCTAAAGTTTTACGCATAAGTACACAAGGCAGGGATCAACAAAGGATTGAATGAAAGAGAGAAATGAGAAAGACTTCTTGTTTTTCTAAATGCAACCAAAGTTTCAATGTAGGTTTCCACCAAAAAGATAGATTAACTTCGTTGGAAGTCATTCTTATCATAAAAATATGTTCACATAAAGCTACTGAGGGAGAAAAAGGACTACAAAGAAAAATCTGGACAATAAATTCAACTTCTTACCAGCCCTTGGTCAACGTAAATTTGGTAGTGCATAATTCTTTTCTCAACCTCAACAATGATTAATCTCCTTTGGTGCCGAGCAACTCTTCCCCTTCCTTCTGCTCTAGAATCCTGATGTAGAATCAGAAAAATCAGATAAATGACTGGGGCAGCAGTCAAAAGAAGGAGATAATTCGAAACATGACAAGTTGCAAAGTTTGACATTCACTTGTACTGCCAGTGTACTCCACGGAAAATGTCAAAATACCTTTGCTTAAACATCTACTAGTGATGTTAATACTGATCTTGTTAGAATGGTCCAGGAAACATTGCCACCAGAAATGAGATGAATGATTCAGTTTTTACAATTAAATTACCAAACAGAACATCAGAAAGATTTCTATGCAGAAGACAAAGTTATAAAATTCTAAATAAAAATAACTCTAAGGCTATCAAAGAATTTTCTGATATGGGCTACAATCAGGTCTTTCGACCTAATGCGATCAAGATGTAGAGCAAACTGAACATGACATTATTAAATAGCCAAAATCACGCTTACTGATTTTAGACTTAATTGTTCTTAAACAGCCCACTTCACATTATAATGATTCCAATTGCAGACAGTTATCTGGACCCTAAGAGCATGAGGAATCATTATATAATTTAGTCATTCAGCTTACATCATATACCCAGATACAGCCACAGTGAAGTAACCACAGTTGAGAACTTTGAACCTAACCAAAAGCTGCCTACAGGTGGCTTAAGCATAGACGAAACATCATATATAACAAATAATTGGGCTATCATCCAAGAACATCACTATGTATCTGATAGACCACCCATCAAGAGGGTTTACCAGCACAGAGGGCACAAGGGTAAAAAGCCACTAACAGATTTGGTTGGAATTGGAGAAGCATGCGTCAGTGGAGAGAGACTAACAGAATTGAAGAAAACTGCTTGAGTGGAGAGAAGCTGGAGGCATGTGACGTAAAACTGCTTGAGTGGAGAGAAGCTGGAGGCATGTGACGTGTGAAGCAATTGGTTAAAAGGGAATAAAAGTTGTTAGTTGATTCATGTATAAAAGGGAGAGCCTTTGTTTGAAAAGGAGAATTTGTAAAAGTGTGAATCAGGGAGGTCCCCAGCTCCTCGAATTGCTGGGATTTATCTGCTGTGATTTCTTTCATTTCAGTCCTGGAATATTTCTCTGTTAGTTACTATTTTCAGTTCTTAATATCAATCTGATTAAATCCATTCCAATCTGTCTTGTGAAACACTAGAAACTGGTGCCTTGTCTGAATTATTGGTTGATTGTTGTTTGTTAATCCTGGGGTTTTATCAACTGGTATCAAAGCCTGGTGTGGGTAATGCCTAAATCGAGAATGAAACAGAAGGTTGAGGGATTAGAAAAAGAAATGGGGAATATGGAGAAGGAGTTAGGAGGGATGAAGGAGGAGTTAGGTAGCATCAAAGGGTATCTCCTGGAAATGAGAGAATGGATGAGATTGAAAGAGGAGAAGGAAGCACAAAATAGTAGAGATAAGGGCAAGTCAAAACTGGGGAAAAACTCCAACAGTAACAACAATGGTGGAATGGGTCAGAGTAAGAAAACCGAAAGCCTTAAGGAGGAAAAGAAGGGGAAAAAATTAGAATTACCAATATTTAATGGAGAAGATCCCTATGGATGGACTTTCAGAGCGGATCGCTATTTCTTAGTCAATCGTTACACAGAGGGGGAAAAAGTAGAGGCAGTTGCAGTTTGCATGGAGGGACAGGCATTGAATTGGTATCAGTGGGTCTAATCAAGGGCACCAATCAGTTCATGGGAAGCTTTTAAAACTGCCGTGGTTGCGAGATTTCGTCCATCTTTCAAAGGATCAGCATATGAGGCACTAGTAGCCTTAAAACAAACTGGAACAGTAACAGAATTCAAAGAAAATTTTGAGGAGCATTCAGCTCCCTTGCATGAGGTAGGAGAAGATTTGCTAATGGGAATTTTTTTAAATGGACTTAAGGAAGAAATTCGGGCTAAACTGCGTTTGGCCCAACCAAATACTCTCTTTTCACTTATTGAGCAGGCCCACAGAATTGAGGAAAAAAACTGGGTTTTAGAATAACATAAGCCCAAACCCTTTAAGACCCAACCACCTAAAATGGAGCCATACCAGCGAGTCACACCCAACCCAGAAAACTGGTGCACAAATGCGTGGTCTCCTAACTCTTTTTCACGTGTTCCAGATCTGATTTCAGGCAAAGGAAATGAACGACAAAGGCCTGGTGACACACCCATGCAAGGATTTCGTGGCGAAAGCTTTCGACGACTGACTGAAGCCGAGATTCAGAGCAAGAGGGAGCGAGGACTGTGCTTCAAATGTGACGAAAAATACAATCCCACGCACCGTTGTAGGGCGAGATCGCTGCAGATCCTTTTAGTAACCAATGAAGACTCGCCAAAAAAGGAAGAACTCATCTCTGACAACGACGATGAGGCCAACCCAACAAGTAATCCATTGGCTTTGTCTATGAACTCGATTGTGGGTATGACGATGGATAAAACTTTGAAGATCTGGGGAATGATTGGAGATGAGACAGTGATTGTGTTGGTTGATAGTGAGGCATCCCACAATTTCATCTCAAAAGAGTTGATATGGAAGCTAGGCTTGAACTTGGACAAGGGGAAACAATTCGGAGTAATATTAGGAAATGGTTTTACCGTCAGGGGAGAAGGGATTTGCAAAAATGTGAGTATGAGGATCCAGGAGGTGGAGTTGACACAAGATTTTTCCCCTTTTGATTTAGGTGGAGCTGATGTGGTGTTAGGGATATCTTGGTTGAGCACGTTAGGAGATGTATGCTCTAACTGGAAAAATTTAGCCATGGCATTCGATAGTAACAGGAGGAGGATTGTGTTGCAATGTGATCCTCCGTTAGTTAAGACTGAAGTCTCTCTAAAAGCCATGCTCAAGACACTACAAAGTGAGGGTGCAGGGTATGTAGTAGAGTTTTGTTCTAATGAGAGGAAAATCGAAGAGCAGAGTGAACCCTTGGAGCTGGAAGTTGCTGCATTACTTACAGAATTCCACCAACTGTTTGACCAACACCCTTGTCTTCCACCGAGGAGACCAACTGACCATGCCATAACCCTCCAACAATCCTCCAAACCTCCTAATCTACGCCCCTACAAATATTCCTACACTCAAAAGAATGAGATAGAAAGGCTGGTGGGTGAAATGCTGGTGTCCGGAATAATCCAACCGAGTACTAGTCTGTTTGCAAGCCTGGTGTTGTTGGTTAAAAAGAAAGATGGAAGCTGGCGATTTTGTGTTAACTACCGCGCCCTTAACAACATAACCATACCCGACAAATTTCCCATACCTTCAATTGAGGAATTGTTACATGAGTTGGTTGGAGCAACAGTTTTTTCTATGCTGGATTTGAACTCCAAATATCACCAGATCAGAGTTAAGCCAAGGATGTGCCGAAAACAGCTTTCCGAACTCACGAGGGGCATTACGAATTCCTGGTCATGCCGTTTGGGTTGACTAAGGGTCTGCTTGGGAGTTTTATGGTAGCGGTTATGAGGGTAAACCATCGTAGTAGTTTTGAGGGTAAACCACCGTAACGGTTTTGAGGGGTTTTTAGTAGCGGTTTTTAAAACACTCGACCTGTGCTTGGAAGTTTATTTTCCAACGGTTCTGACAGTTTTTTTAAATGATAAATTTACATATATGTCCATAAAGTTAAAAGACTCTCTTTTGCTGAATTAACTTTGATAAATACAAATAATGCCTACATTATTTGTTTTTATTTTCTTTCTCTCCAATCAAACAAGAGGCTCATTTTCTATAAACCTTTGTAATAAAACTTGGAACTGTTGAATATGCTGAGCACTGTGGTTGTAACATGTGGGATTTTCAGGTTGGCATGAGATCTTTTGACACAGTTGAGTGTATTGGCAGTGAAGGGCCTCCCAAGTTAAGCACATTTGAGCTACATATGCAGTTTCAAGATCTTGATAAGGGTTACTAGCTGGCTGTTGCAGGTGCTCAGTTTCTTCTTCAGGTTCTTCAATCTTTTTCATAGAAAGGCAGCGAAACGGAGATGCAAGCTTTTTTGATGTGGATTTTGGAGATGGAGTTGAAGGAATTTGGGGCCCTACAGCAAAATAAAACCTCTTATTGTAAATAGACCAGATAGGAGGCAGGAATAAAAAATAAGTCATAAATTTGGTTACAATAAAATAAAGAGCAGAACAAGAAAAGGTGACACCAGGCGTCACAAAGCTGAAGAAAATTGGCGGAGTTCAGGAAACCCAGGGTACATAATGTCTTAGCTAGGTTTTCCCTTGGGAAGAAAAATAAGAAAGAGGCAAAATATAAGCCTCAATAATTCTATAGACTACTTTCCTATCCGCCATGTTGTGTTCTTATCTTAGGAAATAACAAGCATCAGAAAGGCAATGAGTAGTAATGCAGCGATTATTAGTGGAAATGGATTTTTTTGGGATAAAATATTTAAACCAGCCAAAACACCCCAATTTTGGGTGTTTTATAAACCCCTCAAAAATACACTACACTGTTTTTGGGGGGTTTTTAAACTAGTCAAAACCAGCCCATTAAAAATCTGGCAAGTAATGGTTTTTAAACACCTCAAAACCAGTCTAATTAAAAACCCCCCAAAACCAGTGAAAAAAAAACTCCCAACCAGACCCTAACGCTCCTTCCACTTTCCAGGCCTTGATGAAGACCATTTTCAGACCAGTTTTAAGGAAGTTTGTACTGGTATTTTTTGACGACATCCTAGTCTACAGCCCCAACCTAGAAGCCCACCTCACTCACTTGCGATACACCTTCCAAATCTTGACTGATAATGAGCTGGTTGTCAACCGAAAAAAATTTATATTTGGTCAGTTGAAGTTAGAATATTTGGGACATTTGATTCCTGCGATTGGGGTGGAAGCAGACCCAACCAAAGTTGAATCAATGCTATATTGGCCTGTTCCACAGACTACCAAAGGATTGCGAGGATTCTTGGGATTAACAGGGTATTACCGTCGATTCATGAAAGATTATGGGTCGATAGCTCAGTCGTTGACTAAACTACTTCAGAAAGACACCTTTGGGTGGAATGAACAGGCCCAACAAGCCTTTGATAATCTGAAAAAAGCCATGTCATCCGTTCTTGTGCTGGCTGTACCTAATTTCAATCTCCTTTTTGAAGTCCACACCGACGCATCGAGCCAAGGATTGGGAGCTGTCTTACTTCAGAACCAGCGTCCCATAGCATTCATCAGCAAAGCATTTTCCCATTAGTCAAGGCAAAAATCAGTATATGAAAGAGAGTTAATGGTCATAGTATTCGCAGTTCAAAAATGGAGTCACTACCTCAGCGGACAAAAGTTTACTATCAAAACGGACCAACGCAGTTTGTAGTTCTTGACCGATCAGAGGGTGAAAACACCTAAACAACAAAAATGGCTTTCTAAGCTTCTCGGCTACTCGTTTGAGATCGTGTATCAACCAAGTAGTTCAAACCATGTGGCGGATGCCGTCTCCCGCAGAAAAGACATGGAATTCACTGCTGTCTCGGTAGTTACTTTCTTAGAATTCGATGATCTAGCAACTGAAGCACAGCAAGATGCAAAGCTTCGAACTATCATCCAAGATTTGCTTTTCGATCATCAGAGTCACCCAAATTACAATCTACGCCGCAGCTGTCTGCTCTACAAAAACAGGTTAGTTCCTAAATCTTCTAAATTTATTCCGCGGTTGTTGGAAGAACTCCACAATAGTCCTGCCGGTGGCCATTTCGGATTTTTTAGAACTTACAAACGAGTGACGAATCTGGTTTTTTGGGAGGGGATTAAAAGAGATGTTCAGACTTTTGTTCAATGGTGTTCCATCTGTCAACTAAATAAACATTCAGCTTTTAAGCCTACGGGTCTTCTCCAACCTTTACCCATTCCCACTCAGGTGTTCGAAGACATTAGTATGGATTTTATCGGAGGGCTGCCCAAAGCCAAAGGATATGACACGATATTGGTAGTGGTGGATCGATTAACTAAGTATGGTCACTTCCTTCCCTTATGTCACCCATACAAGGCCAAGGAAGTGGCTGATTTGTTTGCTTCGGAGGTTGTCCGCCTGCATGGGTTTCCAAACTCAATTGTATCCGACAGAGACCGAGTGTTTGTCAGTCAATTTTGGCAAGAATTGTTTAAGGCAGCAGGTACCAAGCTGAAATTTAGCTCCGTGTACCATCCTCAAACCGACGACCAAACAGAGGCAGTTAACCGTTGTTTAGAAGCCTATCTCCGTTGTTTTTGCAGCAACCAGCCTAAATAATGGCCACGGTGGGTGGCCTGGGCCGAATTTTGGTATAATTCTACTTTTCATAGTGCCGCCAAGATGACACCTTTCAGAGCACTATACGGCCGCGACCCGCCCACTCTTCCCGGCTTCACCGACTCCCCTTCACTGGTTGAAGAAGTCAATCAGCAGATGGTTGGTCGTAATGTCATCCTGGATACACTGAAAAATAACCTGAGTAATGCCCAGAACCACATGAAATCACAGGCAGATGCCCATCGTCGGGATGTTAACTTTCAGCCAGGAGACCAAGTGTTTTTTAAGCTTCAGCCTTACCGCTTCAGGTCCTTGACTTCTAAACTCAATGAAAAGTTGAGTCCTCGCTTTTATGGACCATTTTCCATTTTGGAAAAAATTGGACAGGTTGCATATAAGCTGGAGCTACCTTCAACAGCCAAAATTCACCCCGTTTTTCACGTATCTCAGCTCAAGCGTAGTCTGCACATCTCGATTCCTATACAACCTCTACCACCCGACCTCACGGAGGACATGGAGCTACAGGTTCAGCCGGAATCTGTCCTGGCCGTCTGCACTCTAGTGAATGGCTCTTAGGAAGTCCTTATCAAGTGGAAGGATTTAACCCCATTTGAAGCAACCTGGGAGTTGGCCGACACTATCACTCTTCAATTTCCTCACTTTCACCTTGAGGACAAGGTGACTCTTCAAGGGGGGGGGTGTTGGTTGTAGTATTGATAGACCACCCATCAAAAGGGTTTACCAGCACAGAGGGCACAAGGGTAAAAAGCCACTAACAGATTTGGTTGGAATTGGAGAAGCATGTGTTAGTGGAGAGAGACTAACAGAATTGAAGAAAACTGATTGAGTGGAGAGAAGCTGGAGGCATGTGACGTGTGAAGCAATTGGTTAAAAGGGAATAAAAGTTGTTAGCTGATTCATGTATAAAAGGGAGAGCCTTTGTTTGAAAAGGAGAATTTGTAAAAGTGTGAATCAGGGAGGTCCCCAGCTCCTCAAACTGCTGGGATTTATCTGTTGTAATTTCTTTCATTTCAGTCCTGGAATATTGCTCTGTTAGTTACTATTTTCAATTCTTAATATCTATCTGATTAAATCCATTCCAATCTGTCTTGTGAAACACTGGAAACTGGTGCATTGTCTGAATTATTGGTTGACTGTTGTTTGTTAATCCTGGGGTTTTATTAGTATCATGACTAGCAGCAACCTATTTTTATGAAAACCCTCATTTCTCATTCAAAATATACCATCTGCGATTCAAAGGGGCAAAAACTATTTCCCTTCTCAATTCTCAATCAGAAGCAATATGTGCAAAGCATGGACTTCATTGAAATAAACTATCCAAAAAAAAAAAAAAAAGAATAGAAAAATGAAAATGGAAGAAGAATTAGTTATTCTATCCCGAATACTTTAATAGTTCATTTAACTTTTTAGAACTATGATAGTAAGATCATCCCTTTGACGTTGTATCACCTTCCAAGAAAAGGTAGTGGGATTACAACAACATTTCAAGTTGAAAAGAAGAGCTGAAGAATTATGATTAAGTGGACATGCATCTTATAAAACTATTGTGTGATAGCTATTGATATCAACACGCAAGTCAACACAGGTTGAAATGTGATCAAGAGAATAAGTATTCATCCCATAGCCAACTCCAACAAAAAGAAAAGCAAATAAGTCAGAATAGGTAGATGATGTGACTCAAACTTAAGTCCCATGGTGCACATGGAAAGGAATCATGATTCCACCTACTGACTCAATAAGCGAAGGCACCAACCAAAGTAAGATTAGATTGGCTGAATTTAGTTAAAGCAAGATGTCTATTTTACCCATTAACTGCCACAAAAATGCATTCTCATTTAATTATTCTGAATTCTTACCTGCTTAAACCATGCACGGATCAACATGAGCAAGAAAAATGAAAGAAAGAATGCAGGTAAGGCAGCTAGAATGGCAAAGTTGATTTCATTTGCCCTCAAAATCTGCTCCAGTTCAAGCATCGTCCTGTACGAGAAAATTTATCTTTATGTACTGAATTGATTAATCAATAACTACAATACCAATATGATTCTATTATATAGACAAGGATGAAAAGTTAGTTGAACTCACGTCTCAATATCCAGTTTCAGTTTCTGAACCTGCAAAGTACCAATTGTTACATAACTGAACCTTAAGCAGCAACAAAATTCTATAAGCAGTATGTACTACCTGGATGAGCAAAGCACGGGCAAGCTCTCCACTTAGCAGATTATGAATAGGATTTACAAGTTCCTTCTCATACCTCCATTCAAAATGATATATAATCAACAGTAGTCCAGACAAGAAGCAAGAAGAGTACTTCAATCAAAAAAGTGGTAAAGAAATAGAATTTTTAGATTCAAACACATATGAATAATAAACTTGGCGTAGAATCAGATTTGGATGGTCTAATTCTTTTATCAAGCATAACCCTGGCCAAGTAACAAAAGAGTAATGAAAGCTGGGCTAAGTAACAATGCATCAGCTGAATTGTTAACAGTATATGAGAAGCTCAAACAAACATAACTACAGGGACAACCCTAAGCTGACATCAGAAATTGAAAATTAAAACATTCTTCATTATGTTCTTACAACCCTCATGAAGTATGGCTTGGGTCACCCTTATGGTGTAAAATTCCATATGTTGTTATACAATCAGATGTAGTTGTTGTACCCAGAATTGAAAAAGTCAAACGTGTCATCAAGAAAATCAATTCTATCAAAACTAGCGGTGGGTCATCTTCTGTACAGTGACTATATATACAGATAGACATCATTGGGCACTGGACTATCTTTGCTTATAGCTATTAGATAACTAGAGATGGGAGACTAAGCAGGGGATATGATACCAGAAGGCAGAACCTGCCAACTTCATGCAGTGGGGAAAGAAAGTAGAGCAGTCAGAGGTGTTGCAACATATCCATGCTCTGGAGAAGAATTTCTGGGATGTCATCCTCTAGGCTTTCCCAATCATCTCCTTTGACCTACTGCCTTAGTTTTAATAACACCTTCAGTTTTGAGAGTGGAGGTATTTACTTTTCTCCTTCCAATGCTACTAATGAACTACAACATAAGTTGAAGGTTTGAAACAAATATTGGTGATCCTGCATTATTTCTTAAATGGAAATTTGACGCGGAGGAAGATAGACTTTGAGTCTAAATACAGTAACTACAATAAAACTTTACACCTATGCTACAGGTGTCTTTAAGCATGTCTTATTTTATATACTATCATATTTAACAGCCAATTACCAATAGAGAAAATCCACCTGGCCATGACTATTTCAAGCATTTTCTGGTCTGATGCATTCTCTGGGAACTTTTGGCCTTTTGTCTGCTCACTGAATGACAATAACATCCTGCATACCAAGGTGATAAATACAATGAGGTTAAATGGAAGTCAAACCCAACAAAGATCAAATATTTTAATGTCAAACAGTAATCTACCATCAATTGATCCAATGCACATATATGCTCCATAACTAGGAATGCGTGAAAAGTATACATATGGAAGTCTTTACAGGGGAAGAACAAGCATATGGCTCTATTGTAGAACTAAGGGCACTCCTAAATATGTCTAATTGTCCCATGACTCTCATGCAGACCAAGACTGAAACAAAGAAAAGCAGGACAACTTAAAGGAAATTAAAGTTCCGAATTTATATTACATTAAAGTAACTCTCATGATAAAATTCCTCTTATATGCATGCAATATTTGATTAGGTGATTATCTTGCCTAGACTGCACAGATACAGATAAGTGGTTTTATTTGAGAGGAGACGAAAAGGGAAATGGTAGAGCAAAAAACTGCATGGGCAAAGGTACTTACAAAAGAAAAAGATTTGTTCAAGCAGTTTGCAAGAAATATTTCATACAGGGCAATACGGAGGAAGTGGATTCAGTGTAGTGCTGTCCACATAGTTAAGGATTGAGACCTAGTTGAGTTGATTTGGTTACTTTCCTACTACTTTTCCAATAAAAACAACCTAAAATATTGCATCAACGGATTGTTTCAAGAACATCATCTTTTTCAAAAAATTAATATACCAAAACGAATTATAATTATTAATCAGTTAAGCAGAGGCAAAAGCAAATGCACATCACAACTTATTTTTAAAATAAATAATATAGCTTTCTTAAGTTAACATGTTGGAAGGAGCCTCATTGATTAGGATCCTCATTTATTTTTGATAATTAGTTCGAAATTGACAATCCTCAATATGTCAGTGAGCATCAGCTGCTTTCTCACTATCTTCCCAAGTACTTCTTCAGTTCAAAGGAAGATCCGGGAAATTGTTTAGCTTAGAAGATCAACTTTGCAAGAAGATCTAGGATGTTGGTGTGATGAGGTACTTCGGAGTGTAATGCCAAAATTGGAGGCCAGATCTAAATATGGAGTTCAATGAGAGGATAAACTTAGCATTCAGCATTCCTGTACCCTAAGATAGTTTTCTTTGCCTGAACAGCTTCATTAAGAAAGATTCAGTGGATAATTTCATAATAGGGAAACATCTCCGAGATTGAAGTAAAATCTAAATATGTATCATTAGTATTTATTACCCAACATTTGACCAAGAAAAAGGAAAGTAGAAGACAAACTTCAACCTGTGCAAAGAATTTGAAGTCAACTGCACTTCTTCAATCTCCATCATACCTTTGTGCCTCTTCCTGAATGTCTCAAAAAGTTCATCTCTAATAGACAGAAGCTGGTGATTAATTGAGTTAGGATAGAAATCAAATCATTCACGTTAAAAAGAAGCTTAACATTATGTACTGGGAAAGAAGTTGAAGAGAAAAGGAGGAAGAACAGGAGAAGATTTGTCTGCATTATATATATATATATATATGTAATTCTGATTGCATTTATTTGTTTCAGCTTAGTTTCTGTTTCATTACTTGCTTCTTATAGACATGTAAAAAAGAAAAGTTGGTACAAGAAACTAAAGGTGGAAAAGTAACCCGCCCGGCCCGACCCGGGTTACTTTGTTTGGCAGGCCGGGCCTAACCCGCCCGCCATTTTCTCCAAAATGGCCGGCCCAGCCCGGCCCGCCGGGTTAGGTGGCGGGCTGGGCTGGGTTAGCCCGATTTTCCTATTTTTTTTGTTTTTTTATTTAACTTTTCAAATAAATAATTATAAATACAATTGGTTTTAATTAACTTTTCAAATATCAATAATTCAATTCAATTTTTTTGTTTGTTAACATTTCAAATATTAATTCAATTTTGATACAATAAAATTATAATATAAGAAAAATTAGACTTATTCATTTATTAAAAAATAAAATAAGAAATTACAACAATTATTGTCTCGTTAAAAACCTCACCAAGAAAAACCCAATGGGATAAAAACTTGATGTAGAAGAAATAAAAATTAAAGAAAGAGAATTGGAGTATGGAAATTGGAATTTGGAAAATTGGAAATATGAATTAAAAATTGCAAAAACTAATAAAAATTAAAATATGAGCAAATTGCAAAAACTAATAAATGAATAATTGAGAGATTAGAGATTAGAGAATATGAGAGAATGAGAGAATTTGAGTTGTGAGAACTTAGGGCCAATTTATAGGAAAAAATGGGAAAGAGAAATGACGAAAAAGACCCTTCCAACGGCTATATTTCAAGGGTAAAGGGGTAATTTGAAAAATAAAATAAAAATTTTTATTTTTTTTTATTTTTTTCGGCCAACCCGCCGGGTTGCGGGTTGCCATTGTGCAACCCGGCCCGCCCGGGGGTTGCTGCCGGGTTAGGGTCAACACGGACCGCCATCTTGACGGTCCGGGCTTAACCCTCATTTTCCCGGGCCGGGTTAGGGTTAACCCGCCTAACCCGGCCCAAATTTTCCACCTCTACAAGAAACGCAACTGAAAATAGATCTAATTAGAGCCACGAGAGAAAAATATCGTTCAGCATCCCTCTGTTTCCCTTTTCTAGTTTTCAGGTTAGCACAACTTTTTATTTTTATAAGAAACAAAGACCAGTTTTGTTTGTTGAAAAAATTTATAAAAGGATAAACAAGCTGTCCACCAAAAAAAAAAAATTATTATTTACAGAATAACAATCCAAAAGTACCTTTAACAAAAGCAGGACAGACAAAAAGAGTCATATTGACAACAAAAACAGTATGGGGATTTAAAGGTTGTCACTAATGGCTCTAACCAGTGATCTTTGAAATCTAGGCTTTCCTTCTTTTCTTAATAATACAAAGGTCGAAGGCAGGGAATGGAGAGGGAATTCAGCTTTGGGAGGATACTGGCATGGGAATATTCCAGTAAATGATTTGTTTCCAAACCTTTCTTAGTTTGCACTTCTGCTCATTACATGGGCCAGCAATGACCTAGCTGAAACGAGCTATCAAACCTTTCTTCCCTCAAAGGTTCAACTTCGTAAAAAGAAAGGGAGTAATATGATGAGTTATTTTTCAAAATGTGATTAGGGTGATGATGTTTGGAGTAGATTATAATGCTAACCAGAGGTTGTTTGAGTTCTGCCTCAATCAGCTTATCATAATTTTAGCACTGATTTGAAGGATTTGAAAAATTAAGGGCTAAAATTTTACGGTGATTAGCAGCGAAAGCATTACTATGAGTCATTTGGTATGATGAAAAGAGAGACAGGAGAGAGAGGATTTTTTAAGAAAAAGATGAAGAGCTTGAAATGCAAGAACATACCGGTTGCTGCACATGGTCATTAAAGAAGCTACGAGTTGAATCCTTTGCTTCGTGAAACCAATTCTCAAGATCAGGACTACCCATCAAACTACTATGCTTTAGTAGCCAAATAGAACAAACTGATAGGCCAATGGCTCCACATGTGTAGTGAATCCATTGTAGGGTTATTTTGCTTGGTTTTTGGTATTTGGCAACCTACAAGAAGAGAAAGCAAGAAGGGAACATATGTCTAAAAATAGATTAACAATTTACAACTGAAACTCCATAAAACTAAGCCAGTCAATCAGTATGATATTCACTAAGAATTAGTACATACAGCATAAAATGGTAGAATCCCGTACCATATGAGATAAGTATTCATCTAGTTTCTGTAGATTTTGGTATACCAAGTTAACAGAAACTCTAATTTCACAATCTGTCCACTGAGACTCTTCTTGATTAACTTCTGGCAGTTCCTCAAATAGTAAAGGAAATGCATAACTCCCATCAACAGAAGATTCGATCTGCATAGCCATTGCACAAGAAAACATGGAACTGAAATATCATTTCACTCAAACAAAAGAAGTGACTTTTATTTATGTTGTAGACTACATAAAGTGAATATGAAAATGGAAATGAAAATAACACGAAAAATCTTAATGCTGAAACAACTGAAAAATAAAGTATTGCTCATGACTTCTTGTGGTTACCTGACGCATTGCATGTATATGGCCAATTGATGCCTCTAACTTCGAGAAGAAACCATTAATAGTAACCAGTAAAGAAGGCAATGACTTCTCTGGTTCTTTCACTAACTCCTCCCCACATTTTTCAACCTCCATGTAAACCTATATGAGTATCAGGAATTTCGTTCATGATCTATAAGAAATGGTTTTAAAAAATATGAGAAATATGCCACTACTACTTAATATATAATCACGTGACAAATAAGGACTTAATGTGCATCTATATAAGATATATCTGATGGAAGATAACATTTTGATAAATAAGCAAGAAAAGAGTATTAATAAAGACAAAAGAAACCTACAAAAAGAAAAAAAGAAAAAAATGAGAACTACACCCAACACAACACATACTGGGCCAAAAGAACAAACATACAAAATTAAACATGTCAAACTTAAACAATCAAAACAACTTTTCAATCTCTTAGAATAAAGAACAGCACATATCATTGAAGCATTTTGGCAACCTGAACCACAATGATGCCACACATCAAACTTTATCCAATAAAACCTCCACTGTATCTTCAATTCCTTCAAGAGATTCTTCTATTCTTTCATTCTAAAAAATCCAAACAACAGCCAACACATGCCACATTCTTCAAAGACAAGAAAATAAGGGAAGAATTTCAGATACAACTCTCCGTAGACTACTCTAAGAACCTCACACATTAGAACTCACAATTTTGAATACAAGAAATCCTTCTAATAACCTCATGGAAAAACAATTAAGGAAAAAGTACAAGATGAGTGAAGATAGAAAAACTAAACCAGGAACAAGTTGAGGCAAACCTGCGCCAAAAATGTGGCAAGGGAACATCTTAAGGTAGTTAAGACAACTATCCTCTCAGAAATATGGGCAGATGCGTATTGGCATAGTTGTTCAATGGCAGAACCCTCAGATACACAATCTTTCAACAACTGAGCCATCCCGTTAAGAAAGGCCTGTGGCCCTCTCTCAAAAATCATGAAGTATACTTTTTGAGAATTAGATCCCTAAATTTAGAGGAAACGTTTACACAATTAGGAAATAACAAAGTGCATAACAGCATTGCTGCCAAGAGATTAAAAGAGATAAAAGATAAAAGAAAATGGGATTACTAATTCTAACCTCAGCTCTAGATTGCCAAAATTGCAGATCCTCCTGGATATTATGCAAATTTAAGAACATGTGTTCCATTATGTCCTCCAACACATCAAATGCTCTTGATGTCTCAGTCATAACCCTATATGTGTATATCAAAATACCATTTTAAAGCCATAGAATAAGACAAATGAGTGAAGCAATGAATACCAAGCCTTAAAGTACATTTAAAATAGAGGGAGAGATTTCTTCAAAATTATAAACAAAAACTACAGTTAAATGTTGCTCAGGTTAACCAGGAGCACCGGCCTACATCAAACGCATATGCTAAAAGCTACAGCTTTTGAGCCATTCAGGGACGGAACCGCTACGGGGTGAGTGGGGGCTCATGCCGCCTGAACCTGGAAAATTCAGTTAATCTCCTTCCATTATGTATTTGTAACAAAAAGTCTCCTTTCTTCTATAAAAGTGGTTTGCTATTTTTAGCATGCTTTGATTTTGTTTACTTCAACTTCCAATATATAGTTCGCTACTTTTTTTTTTTTTTTCCTCCAATAGAAGTATTAAAATTGAAACGCACTTAAGCGAGGATTGTAACGGAATTAAAATTTTGAAGTGAAAAAAAAAGTAACTTTACTGATTTAAGAAAACAAAGAAAAAGAAATGAAGAGGAGAACATACACAGAGGAGTCGGAGGAGTAAGAAGGCAGTGGGAGAGGGAGAATAGGCCTACGTTTGCAAGATGTTTGGCGATATAGAAGCGACATTTTCCCGAGAAAATTGAAGGGGGAAGAGGGAAAGAAAGAGGTGAGTCGGTTCCAGAGATAATGGGAGTAGAATGAGATTAGGGTTTTGACGGCGTTCGATTCGTTGTCTGCTTCAACTTGAGATTCGGACTGCGCTTCCATCTTTCAAGTTAGATTAATGAAATTTCCAGTTGGAGTCCAAAAGCTTTGCAGCTTTCTAATTTCTTCTTCAACCGCAAATGAAGTTTCAGGAATTTGAACTGAATGTCAGATCTAAGTACGTCAAAGACCTTCTATGATTGTTGAAATTACGTCAATTGCCCTCTCACTTGTCTAAAAAGAAAGAATAATTAGAGCAATTAATGATCTGAGCCAAATTGGGGGTAAGAATTGAAAATAATCCTAATGGGTAAAGTTTCTCAAGGATTAACCGAACCCAATTTTCCTCTTTTTGACTACCCGAAATACCCCTCAGTTAACCCTAAGCTAACCCTTCCCTCCTCTAGGAATGGCAATGAGCATCCCCTCCCCCAAGAAAGGGGCATTCCATCCCGGGCCAAATCCTTGAAGAAATGGACATCCCTGTCCCCAGCCTAATCCTAGTTTTTACTAATGGGGATTGGGCCAGGGATCCCCTAAAAAGAAAAGGCAAGCCTAAATCCTCATCCCCTCCCCACTCTGCCTTACCTAAAATTCTTTAAAATAAATTTCTATAATCAATTGTTTTTAAATTATAATTTTTTAATTTAATATAAACTTTTATTGTGTTTGTTATGCTTGAAAATATAGGGCTGACGCAAGACTCAGTCAGCATAAAAAGTCAGAGCTTAGGTAAGCCCGCAACCAGTTAGAAGCAGCCACGTCGCGTGGTGACATGAGCAGCACACTCCTGTCAGTAAAGTGGGTGCCCGCCAGACTAGCCAGAAGCTGTAGTGATTCCACGTGTCCAATCCCTGTACCAAATCGTGTAAATCACTCTAGAAGGTGGGCAATGTGACATAAAGAAGGATTTGCACGAATAATCTCATCAACTCACAGATCTAATAATGATAACCTTAACCCATCTCACTATAAATTGAGAGCTCTTTTCTCATTCAAGGGATTGGCCTCCCTCTCTCTAAAGAAAAATAGCATTATCTCTCTTGTATAATCATTTGTAAGCCAGTCCGCTAACGCGACCTGACCCCTATCATTAATACAAAATCAATGGACGTAGGATTTGCTTCCTTAGCATCCGAGCCACTTTAAACACTTTTCTTCCATCGTATTTACTCTCATTTTCACATTCACATGTGTCTTCTAGGCATGCTCAGCATTTCATACGTGCGTTTGGTTGGTGTCAAAATCACACAACAACAATTTGGCGCTAGAAGGAGTGCATGATTTAGTGTTCATCCTTCATCAGGAGAATCTCTTACTGGTCCTACAACAGTAAATGGCTTGCCGACTTGAACCTGAGCGAACCAATCAGGGGGTTGAGGAGATCCCCCAAGTCCAAGAGGACACCTCTGCCGAGGTGCCTTCGGTTTCGCAAAATATCGCAGCGGATATCCCGTCAAGTTCACAACTTAACCCTGCCATCAGAAGCTACCTGGAGAGGTTCAACAATACCCTCCAGACGGTCAACCAAAAGTTAGACCGTTTAGACCAGGGCGTGCCACCAATCAGCTGGGGCGGTGCAACCGCCAAAAATGCCTGCAGGTTGCGCGAAAGCGCAGCAAAGGGAGATAGCCCGTGCCGTGAGCACTGCAGCATGTCGAAGAAAGGGTACGCAAGTGGCAAAAAAAAGGCCTAAGGGCTCTAAAGGGCCGGCGAACACCGACCACGTCTCGAATAGAATACTGGTGGCGTTAAGACTCGATGAAAGGTCGCAGCTCGAGCCGTCCCATGCCACGTCACATACACAACCCCATAAAAGTACTGGACAGGCCGATTCCTATCACCGCCAGAAAAACGATCCTGATTGTCATCGTGCGGGAGGTTCCCACACATTGCGAGGCGGTTCGTACCACCGCGAAGGTCATGAAAATTCCTCGCACTATTCATTGCTATCACACGACTCTAGCCAGCGTGTGTCGAGAGCGATCGAAATTGCCGACCGAGGAGAAGAGGAATCTGACCTCCCGACTCTCCTCAATCGCAATCGCGAGGGTCGAACTCGCATGGGCGAAAGCAATCCCCGAATGGCTCCGCTGCCTCAGATTGAAGAGCTGCAACGAGCCCTATACCGACTAAGAGCTCAGCGAAATGAGCAAGGGCAGGTCGTATCTACATCCCCTTTCTCTCTAGAAGTGATAGCTGCCCTACTTCTATCAAGATTTAGAATGCCCGACATGCAAGCATTCGATGGAAATTCTGATATGCAAGATCATTTATATGAATTCAATGACCTAATGGAGCTTCACCAGGTCTCAAATCTAGCGAAGTGTCGTTGTTTAGCAATAACTCTAACCTCTCATACCAAACAGTGGTTCAGGTCGCTCCCAGCGGGATCGATCAGCTCGTGGCCTCAGATGAGCGCAACGTTCCTAAGGCACTTCCCAGTGAATCGAAAGTTCTCAATGCCTTTGAGCTACCTCAGCAATATAAGGCAAGAGAGGAATGAGTCCCTCAAGTCTTACATCGACGGATTTCACAGAGAACTCAACAAGGTAGCTCACACTCTCGAAGAGTATGTTTGGACTCTCATAATAGTAAGAGTTCGTCCACAGACCGACCTGTGGAAAGAGTTACAGGCTGAGAATGATGTTTCCCTCACCTGCTTTTATAACCTTGCAAAGAAATACCTCCGGATTGAAAATTCAGTGGCAGCGCTCCACCGCCGCAACCCCGGCACTTCAGGCAGTGCGTGTGGTCGGAGGGAGAGTAAGAGAGTTGATCGCAGATGGACTACTGACGATCAACAAAAAAAAAAGAAACCGCGCTATGAGCCCAAAAAGTCTTATGCTCCTGTTCCTCCTCGCAATCACGACAGAAATCAGTATACGCCTTTGAATGCATCTGTATCGGCTATTTTTGACAAATCAGAAGAAGCCAGCCTGCTTGGAGAGCCTAAGCCTATGAAAAATCCCCTATCAGCCAAAAATAGTAAAAAGTACTGTCTCTTTCATTGGGATAATGGGCATCACACCGATGAGTGTCGAGCTCTCAAACAGGCAATCGAAGACCTTATCAAGAAGGGGGCATTTTAAGGAATATATTTACTACTCTACTTCCGCACAAGAGAAAAATCAAGGGGAACCGGAAAAGAAGCATCGTGATCGCAAAGGCATAGGCAGTATCAACTTAATCTTTGGAGGCCCGCACCTCGCAGGGAACTAGCGAGGTGCCTAGGAAAGATATGCTCACGTGGCCCATCACAACCCTATCAGTGTGATAAGCACGATGCAACAACCACAAAAGGTTTGCAAGGAGGAGGAAATTACCTTCTTCGAAAAGGATGCAACTCATTTGCATCATCCCCACGATGACGCTCTTGTAATCACGCCCCTCATAGGGCACCATAACGTCCACAAAATGTTGGTGGATAACGGAAGTGCTGTGAACATTCTGTTCCAGACAGCTTTTGAAAGAATGAACTTGGACGAGGCCGACCTGAAGCCCGCCTCGATCCCCCTATATGGTTTTACAAGGGACCACCTGATCCCCAAAGGAACGATCTTGCTTCCAGTCACGCTCGGTGACTTTGACAAAGTGACTAAGGTAACCGAATTCTTGGTAGTGGATTGCCCATCTGCTTTTAATGGTATCCTGTGGCGACTTCTGTTGAGAAACTTCAAGGCAGTCACTTCGATATACCATCTGAAGATGAAGTTCCCCACCCCGACGGGAATAGGGGAAGTTAGTGGATCTCAGTGCGTATCTCGCGACTGTTATGTAAAAGCAGTACATATAACGTGCAAAGGGAAAGGTATCTCGCGCGACATTCCCCAACAGGCTATGGCGATCAGCCAGATCGAGCCATAGCCTGGTCCAGCCAAGGATAATATGGATCGTCGTATTCAGGAATGCCCTTCCACTGGGCCAGTTGAGGATCTATCTAAAGTATCGGTCGAACAGAGCAAGCCAAGCAGAGTGTTAAGGATTGGGAGCAATCTCAACCCCTAGTTCGCCTCCGAGCTGACCAGCTTCCTCAGAGAGAATATCGATGTGTTTGCCTGGTCACAAGCAGATATGGTCAGGATCAACCTGGATATCATTTACCATGCATTGAACATCGACAGTGAAGCCAAGTCGATTCGCCAAAAAAAAAAAAATAGCGATGGATCCGGAGTGATATGCCACCTTAAAACTAGAGGTGGATAACCTTTTTCGAAACGGATCCATCCGAGAAGCGCTCTACTCGGCCTAGGTTACCAACCCGGTTCTAGTGAAGAAGCCCAACGACAAATGGCGAACCTGTGTCGACTTCACCGACCTCAACAAAGCATGTCCGAAAGATAGCTTTCCCCTGCCCAGAATCAACCAGCTCGTGGATGCCACCTCGGGGCACAAGCTACTAAGTTTTATGGACGTGTACTCGAGATATAATCAAATTCCGATGTACGCGCCAGACGAAGAACATACATCCTTTGTTACAAATCGGGAGCTGTATTGCTACAAAGTAGAGGTGGAACAAATGGGTCGGGTTAGGCTAGTCAACCCTAACCTGGCCCGCAATGAAGCGGGTTGAACCCGGACCGCCAAATACCCAACCCGGCAACAACCACCGGGCGGGCCGAGTTGCAAAATGGCAACCTGCTAACCCGGCGGGTTACCGTTTTATCTCTTCTAAAAGAGACCGCCAACCTGGCGGGTTGGTCAAAAAAAAATAAAAAAAAATAAAAAATTTAATTTGTTTTTTCAAATTACCCCTTTACCCTCGAAATGTAGCCGTTTTATAGCCGTTGGAAGGGTCTTTTTCATCATTTTTCTTTCCCATTTTTCTATAAATTAGCCCTAAACTCTCACATTTTTCTCACAACTCAAATTCTCTCATTCTCTCATATTCTCTAATCTCTAATATCTCAATTATTCATTTATTCTTTTAATCTCTTTGTTATCAATTTGCTCGTATTTTAATTTTTATTAGTTTTTGCAATTTTTAATTCATATTTCCAATTTTCCAAATTCCAATTTCCATATTCCAATTCTCTTTCTTTAATTTTTATTTCTTCTACATCATTTTTTTTTCAACTACAATGGATAGATATTTCTCTCCCATCAATTACAATGATGAAGGAAACTACTATCTTAGTTCTAGTCTCTCTTATTTTATTAACA